TTATTTTAATTCCAAGTTGAAGACTGTTGGGTTACTTAATGAACTTGTTGACCTAATCACAGTTTAATTGTGCCCCTGTTCTACGTAAATAGTTGTCCTTATTTTAATATGTAATGGGGTAAGGAGAGATAAGATAGTAGGCTACCCCCAACACCAGGTTGAGAGCACTTCCGTAAAAGACCTCCGAATTATGAAATGCCTTCCGTGGGACTCGATCCCACAACCTCAATGTAAAGAACCTTGTGCTCTACCAACTGAGCTGGATAATCATCTCAAAATAGCAGTGCCATTTTTAATAGATATTATTTTACCGTGAGTTTAAAAAAAATATTTTTTTACTGTAAGTTAAAAAATATTTATTTATAAGTTATCAATTTTAATCAGATCTACTATATTTATTTATTTAAAACTAATGACTATAAATTAATGTAAAACTTGTTAGTTTTACATAGTATAAATACCAGAACCTATCCCATATATATATATTTATCGAGGGTATCGTCTAGGGATGGACTTGTAACCCAAATCTATGATCCGTTGTTTCACGGAAAACAGATTTCAAAAAATGAATTACTTAAAATGAATTACATTTTTTGAAAAACATTTTACTGTGTTTGGATGATGTTGTGTAATTCATTTTGCACCTGGTTGGTAAATTTTTTAAAAATTCTTTACTATAAACATTAAATACAATGAATAATATTATTTATTAATAAAATAATAATATTTTTAAATATCAGAATAATTTATATAATATTATTTATGTCAATATTATTATTAAAATGTTATATCAACAATTTTATAAATAAAAATATTACGGTTATTATATTTTATTAAAATAAAATTATTATAAATTATATTCATTATTTACTAAAATAGTAATATTATTAAAATATTAAAAATATAATATTAAAATAAAAATATTATATTATATTTTTAAAGAATATATATTAAATATTCAACAATTGAATAATATTATTTTTATGAAATTAATAAATAATATTATTTTTTAATAATTTATTATATATTATTAAAATAAAACTATAATATTATTTATTATATTAATATAATTATAACAATAAAATATTATATTATATTATTAAAATTATCAATAAATATAATTTAATAACTAATATTTTTATTAAAATGATATTAAAATAATATATTAATATTACATATATAAAATAATAATGTTTTGAGTGTTTATGCTTTGAAGTGAAAAATTCGTAAAATGAATTACAGAAAATCATACGGTAAGTCATTTTCCAGAAAATGCAAATGAATTCAGTTTATCAGGAAAATGAATTACATTGACTATCTGTTTTCATCCAACCAAACACTAGAAAATGAGGAAAACATTTTTCGAAAAACCAATTACAGGAAAACAAACATACCCCTAATGAGTTTCGACCCTATAGGGTCACTTTTTATAAATAAAAAGGTTTGAATCATATCATATTTTTAGATGATAAGATCAGACCAAGTTAAATTCGAATCTATAGTAAAAAATTTATGAGTCAACTTAAGATAACAATATAACTATCTATTATATATATTTATAGATAATTACAATAATATTCTTATTTCTATACATATTTTTTCAATTAAGTCTTTTATTTTATCAAATAAAACAAGAATATATATATATATATATATAATCAGATAGAGTACAAACTATTATCTTAAAAATCATATTAAATTTTGAATCAAACGAAAGTTTATTATATTCGAATCGAGTTTTAAAAAATATAGTAAAATTTTGACCTAATTAAATTAGTCAAATTAGATAGGAAAGGAGCTCTTTAGTCTTTAAGTCAATTACCATCTACGTTACCATGCCATGGTTTGCATGTTTTAAGCAAGAAACTATCCCACTAGTCATTTTGTAATTGGAAGGAGTAAAACCCAAGTTTACTCTTGTAAAATTGCATGAATCGAGCGAATTTAGTGATAAAAAAATTATTGTTATTTCTTTAGGTCTTTTGTTTGAACACTAGAAATGTCAACGGTGTGAGCGTTTAATGTCAAATGATCGAGAGTAGTTTTTGAACATATATTTCATTGTATTTACTCCCGATTAATTAAAAAATGCATACAATCCGATATTTGATTGATTGACTAATCTAGATTAAGTACCGCATATGCTCATTATAGGAACGAATCTTCTAATCAATTTTTTTTTTCATTTACAACAGCGAGATTTAAATCTTTGACTTTACTTAAAGAATTATTCAAAGTCGAAAATAATGAATTACACATGTAATCGAGGGTGAAGCAAAAAAAAAAAAATCATAAATGGTATCAAAATAAAATTATATATTTTGTTAGTGGCAAAAAAAAGTTTGCGTTCAAAGGATATTCAATCAAAGTAACATGTTTCTCGACACAAATTTTATTATCTTATTGTGAATTAGGCAAATTGAATTGAAATCGTCTGTAACGAATCTCTCAATAATTTATTTATATTAATCGATCGATAAATCAAATACTGATGATTATGCCAAAAACATATTATAATTATCACTTCCATCTCATTGTTAATTTGACATTTATTTAGACAAAAAAAAAGTCGGATAATGGTTAAATCAAACTTGATAATTTAGGGGGAGTTTTGAGGGTAAATTAGGGTTAGGCATGAGATCCGAACCCGATCTGATCGGGATTTTTTATAAAAAAAATTAGGTTTGGGTCGGGTCGGATTTAATTTTGGGTGAAAAATACCCAACCGACCCCAAAAAAATAATTTTACATTATATATTTAAGAATAATTACAATAATACCCATCTATATATTATTTTTTAATTAAATCACTGTTTTTATTGAATAAAAATAATATTTTTATTATTTCTTGTTGGGTCAGATCGGATTCGGATTTTATCACAAAAATCGGGTCGAGTTCGGGTCGGGTGGAGGTTATATAATTTTTGGGTCGGAACGGACCGGGTGAACGATGTAAAATTTTCGGGCCGGTTGGCCCAAACCCGACCCATGCCCATCCCTAGTTCTGATATTAGATGGAGATTGAGTAGGGGTGAATAAACGAAAAATATTCTTTTATCTAGAGTTTTAGTAGTAAACGTAAAAGTGACTGTACATAATGATGAATGAATCGTTCGATGAATCTCGATAACATATATTTTTTAAACGTGAATCTCATGCATGCGAAGAGCAAGGCCCGAGAAACAGCACACCATCGCCTTACTTGGTAGTCAATTGGTGTACTAATTATGGGAGACAAAGAAATGAAGCAATATTCTTTTACGCATGGAGGCTTGCTTATTCCTTACACGAAAACTTAACAACTAGGGTAAAAAAAACACACACTAGAGTAAATTATTCGTTTATTATCTAAATTATCAGGTTCGATCCATTTTAATACTTAAACTTTTAATTTTTTTCAAAACCATACATAACGTTTAGCTTTTGTTTCGTTTTAGTATCTCGTCGTTAAAAACTTATCGAGTGATTTGCACTTGGAACCTTTTTTATGGGTAAATTGCAACATTCATCACTCAACTATCTTCTCACTCCTATTTTGGTCGCTAAGGTTTAGTTTTTTTAATTTAATTGCTTAACTTTCAAATTACTCCTAATGTAATCACTATAACTTTCAATTTTTTCAATTTTTAATTATATATTCATAAAATAATAATAAAAATATCATGTCACAAAAATATTAAAAAAGTTAAATTAGAGTGATTAAAATAGAAACAATTTAAAAGTTGAGTAGTTAAATTGAAAATTTTTAAACTTTAGTACCAAAATATGACTGAGAAGATAGTTGAGGGATGAATGGTGTACTTTACCCATAAAGAATATAGTGCCGTGGTAATTTTTTAACGGCGAGGTATTAAAATAAAACAAAAACTACTTTGGGTATGATTTTTAAAAAATTAAAAGTCTAGGTACTAAAAACAACAAAACTGATAATTTAGATACTAAATGCATAATTTACCAAAAAACTAATCCAATATCAACACTCTTATGGTATAACTTAAGCCGAGTAAAGTGTTACAGGTATATGGAATTAAGATTAAATATTACGAAAATTAAACTATTTTTTATCCGTGGTAATTATAAGATAATATATATTTATAATAATTCTTAATTATTGACGATACTTGTATATTCTGTAGATGCAACTGCTTGAACCATAACCTCGAAAAAAATAATATTTCTTTTAATTACTATTCATAGATTTGAGGACTAAATTATTAAATCTTAAAAAAATATTAATTATTTATATAAAAAAATAGGAGACAAAACTTAATTAAATTAATATATAAGTTTATAAAAACTAAACTGGGATTAGAAGATTCGAGACGAGAGTCATCCAAAATCCTTGATTTTAGTGTCACTTAACTAAGCGACGCAAATTCAATTAGAAAATGACCTAAGAACTTCTTTTATTACTAAATTATTAGTGGCTAAATGCTCAACTTGGACCTAATTGAAATATATATATATATATATATATATATATATGGGGTATTATAATAATTTTTTTGAGGAAGGGTATTATAAAAATTACACTATTATTCTCGGGCCTAGTCGAATTTTTTTCATCCTAAACCCTAATCCAATCCGATCTTATCATTTAAAATTCTGACATGAACCTAAATCTAGATTTAAGAGAAATCCAACCTTATAAAATCAAGTCGAGTTAGAATATGTTGGATTCGGGTCAAATGTCTTATGTCACCCCCTACATGGGACCGGGAGAGGAAGGAAACAAGTCGTCGTTTAGGACAAATCAACACCTACAGATTCCTTGCTTTAACCCTTGGCAAATGACAATACACACTTTATTACATTTATGCAATAAACAATTCAAACTAGGTTTAAAATACTAGTTTACATGCAAACGTCCGCCACTTCCTACGGTGTTAAGTACAAGTAATTGAACCAACCCTACAATTTGTGGGTATATATATACCCTAGTAATTCCACGCCCATCATAATTATCACGACAAAGACCACTTGTACTCAAAGAAGAAAGTGATGGGAAGGAAGCCTTGTTGTGCCAAAGAAGAGATGAACAAAGGTGCATGGTCCTCAAATGAGGACCAAATCCTCACCGACTACATCAAAATCCATGGTGAAGGCAAATGGAGAGACCTCCCTCAAAGAGCTGGTATTCCTTGTTTCACTCCATTCCACTTCGAATTCATTTGTTTTTTCGTCCCCGAACTTACCTCTTTTTTCCAACCTGATCCCTCAACGTGGCACGATTTCAGAGTGTCACGCCACCAAAAGGACTAAGAATGAGTTAGAAATTCAAGTTTAGGGATTAAATTGGAACACATTGTCAAATTCAGAGTATCATGTCGTCAAGAGCACCAAAATGAGTTAAAATCCAAATTTAGGGACCAATATGAACAAAAAAAGTTTAGGTATCAAATTGGAAAAGTTATTAAATTCATAGGCTAAAAGTTACTTTATCTCTTTTGATATAGGGTTGAAGCGATGTGGGAAGAGTTGCCGGCTCCGGTGGCTGAATTATTTGAGACCGAATATTAAGAGAGGAAACATCTCTATTGAAGAAGAAGAGCTCATTATTAGACTACACAAGCTCCTTGGTAACAGGTAACACCTTTGGTCAAATTACGATTTTGGTCAAATTACGGTTTTGGTCCTTGATCAAATTCGATATTTAAATTCTACGCTCTAGTTCGACCTTCAACACCCTTTTTACATTAGTTGAAACTCTAGTTTAAGTATTGAATTTAGGTGTCAAGTACGCTACATTTGGTTTTGATTAAAATTTCAATGTGTTTTAATCCATTTAAATCAATATTTATAATAGTACATCGAGTTAAATCAAAATTTAGGTGTTTATAGATCGAATCAGACCCATATATCATAGCAATAACATTGCGTAAGCTCGATTACCGGATAGGTCTAGTATATACCGATATCAAAAGAAAAATGATCACCCCATCATGTTAGCATTGGTCTTGGTTGATTTCCCGTGGATTTTATTTCGATTCGATTAACGGTTAGTGTTTTTATAACTCCGATTAATGAAAGTTCGATTCAATGTTATCAGGTGGTCCCTCATCGCTGGAAGACTACCAGGGCGAACAGACAATGAAATAAAAAACTACTGGAACACAGCTTTGGGTAAAAGATTGAAGGGCCAAAAGAGCAATTCTCCCAAATCCACTGAAACTTCTAACAAGCTGAGAACAAATGGTGAACACCAAGTGATACGAACCAAAGCAGTGAAGTGCACCAAGGCTGTAAATGTCACCATAAACCCTAAATCCAAAACCATTAGCGGCGTCGAAACCCTGCCTTCCTCGTCGATCAACGAGGATTTCTTGATGGATTTCGACATCGATGAACTTTTCGTACCCGAATACGACCCGATCTCGGAGTTTCAGCATCAAGTCCGACAAGGAGATGAAAATGGGGACAACATGGGGTATGGTGATGGGTTCAACTTGATCATTGATGATGCTAACGAGCTTTGCAATTCAATGGATGATTTGAGAAATGGTGCTGAGATTTTCGAGACAAGTGAAAATTTGGATCTTCGAAGCCTAGCATCGTATCTAAATATAGAAGATGAATGGATCAATTAGTTGAAGTTAAACTAAGTTTGTCATTTCATAAGTATGTCCTTGTAATAAGAAAAATTACGAGTATGGATTAATTTAGGTATTATATCGGGAATGGATGTAATTTCTATTTTAGTTAAAATCATATTAAAACCTTAGGCTTAATACCAAAATAAGTGTCCAAACGATACCGCTTTTCTCGAGTAGGTGCCTAAACTGTTTTTTGATTCATCCCGGTGCCTAACGTTACAAACGTTATCATTTTAGGTGCATGAGCAGTCAACATCGTTAATTTTCCCTGTTAAGTGACACATGTCACAATCTGATGATTTTGAAATTTATTTTTTAAAAAATAAAATATTATTATATTTATAAAAAACCCTAATTTATTTTAAATTATAAAAAATCCTCAAATCCCTAAAATCCTCGCATCCTAAGTTTAACCCCGTCGTCATTTCCGACCATGACCACCACCGCTGATGTAGCACATGCCAACCTCCTAGTCATACGCCGCCGTAGTTGTCGTCGATTGGCCGTCGGAATCGTGATTTTTATCCTAGGGTTCGCGAGGTATAAAACGTCGATTCATCGTCGATCGGTCATGATTTCATAGGGGTTTTGGTCGATGAGGAGAGGTGAGGTCGGGTGGAGCTTTGTCGACAACAAAAGATGGCAGTTGGCGTGGGTTTTGGGGTTGAAATGAAGGTTTTTAAACTTTTAGGGTTATTTCAAAATGTTTATTTTTTAATATATAATTTTAATTTTTAAATAAATTTTTTAAAATTATCAGATTGTGGCACGTGTCATTTAACGAGAGAAATTAACACCGTTAACGGCCCGAGCACCTAAAGCGATAACGTTTATAACGTTAGGCACCTAGATGAGTCAAAGAATAGTTTAGGCACCTGTTTAAGAAAAACACTATAGTTTAGGCACTTTTTTTGACATTAAGCCTATAACCTTATAAAGTATGAAAAAGTTATTATGCACTAATTCAAATTTTAATTAATAATTAAGTTAAAAAAATAATGCTCGAACATTACTCTAAAAGGGACTTGAAAATTACAGAGGCCTTCAGTCTAATTGCTCAACACATAATCAGAAGGAAATGGGTACCTCTCAGATAAATTGCTCATTTTAACATTTTTCTTCTCGATAAGATGATATTTAACTCTTAAAAATCTTACACGAATTAAATGATATCAGTAGTTAAGGGACGATCAGTAATAGATCCAAAAATATTTTTCAGGATTGACACACATATATTAACAACATAAAAGTTTTAAATGAAATGATGCAAATGAAATTTCAAAGTGGGCACCGTTCGTAAATAAGTAACAACAACAAATTGAAGAAAACTCATATTTCAAGATGGGCACGAAAAATTTCAGGGTGGGTACCATAAGTAAAAATAAGTAACTAATCGAAAAAAATTTAGATTTCAGAGTGGACACATGCCTCCACTAAGTTGTAGCTTCGCCACTGGGATGATTATTATCTCTAGATGTCTTTGCGCACGAATTAAATATTTAATTTATTTAATTATCAAATGATTGATTTTTTTAACAAATTTTACTTTCTAATAGATGAATATGCACCCGAATAGCATAAATTATTAGAAAATATGTTGGAGTTAAAGATTAACGTTTGTTATGGATCAAATTGATTTAATTTATGAGTTTGAGGGCATAATTAGGTGAAAAAAATTCAGGAATTGATTTGATATTTTCAAACGATCGAGGGCTATCGAAACATTAAGCCTCGATTGTTTTACATATTGTTTCTTCGACAGCATCTTTGGTAAAAAAGTTTATTACCTCTGCGGTTTTCAATCTCCGCCATGGCTGCTCTAGATTCTGATGTTCCCATGGTCCCCGTCGGAGAATCTTCAAACAGCTCCGCCGCTTCCTCCTCCACTAAGAAGCCCAAGCGTTTTGAGATCAAAAAGTGGAGCGCCGTTGCCCTCTGGGCTTGGGGTACCAATCCCTAACCGTAACCCTAATTTACTTCCTCTTTTGCCTTCCCCCCTATTTTAGAACCAATTTGCTCTTTTAATGTTGACTTGTTTGATCGATGCAGATATTGTTGTGGATAATTGTGCGATTTGCAGGAATCACATCATGGATCTATGTGTGTCTTCCTACCTTGAGTTTATTTTTCAATTTCTTTTATTCTTTTCATTCGATTTATGATTATTTTTCTTTTGGTTTTGATGAATTCCGACTGGTTACGTAAATTTGGTTTTACAGGTATTGAATGCCAAGCAAACCAAGCCAGCGCCACCAGTGAGGAATGCACTGTTGCTTGGGGTATTGTTTATCCTTTTTTTCATTCCCTGAAACAGTAGAATTACTGAATTACAATGCATTATAATGTATTGGGCGTGCTCCTTATGTGCGTGTTGCCGTGTTCCCGATATCGGGTTGAGTCAAAAAAATTTGAATTAGTCAAGTTGACTAGTCTTATTTTGTAACTCAAACTTTATTTGAAATTTTTTAGAGTCAAATTTATGAAATTTGAGTCGAGTCGAGTTGTTCGAGTTTCTATTTATATTTAGTTGTAAATATTTATATTTTTATGGTACTAATTGATTCTGATTTAAACGGTTTTCTATAACCAATATATATATATATATATATATATATATATTTCTTCATATTTTTTCATATGGATATATTTATATCATGCATAGTTGAGTTATTAGAGTCATATTTTATGACTCAAACTTTATTTGAATTTTTTTTCCAGAGTCAAGTCGAGTTTTGCTCACCCCTACCTAACGCTATCTGAATAATTTCTTAGCTTTGGTCTGGACCTAGTAAATATGAACTGTATTGGTTGGTCTTCGTTTGATGGTTACATTTGTTCGTGAGAATGGTTGATCCATACACTTTATTTGTTTCTAATCTAAATAAAATTCCATGACTAAGCTAATTAGAGTACCGAAAAAATTACTTGTTAAATTTTAATTTGTTCGTTGAATTCTCTTTAAGACTCATATGAAGCTTGGAGAAACTATTAAAGCATGTGGGTGATAACATTAAGAACAAGACAGCCTTCTTTAACAGCATTAGTATATCAGCTTGTCAACTGATGTTTTGGTCTCGGAAATTTTATTGTTTCACTCTATATCAGTCGTTTCCTTGCATATAAACGAACACTGAAACTCATCTCTCACTCTTTTTGTTCAACGGAAAACATAGAAACTCATTTTTGATTTGATATTGAATCGCTTTTCATTTGTAGGGGTCTGTAACCATGCATTTCACTTCCACTGTATCAGCCGATGGCTGAAGACTCGTCAAGTGTGTCCATTGGGTATGATTTGTGCCTCCCGGTGCCATATTTTCACTTTGATATATTGCCCAATCCGTAACAATGCTATCTTTGTGGTTTCGATTTTGCAGATAATAGTGAGTGGGAATTCCAAAAGTATGGTCACTAAATCATTTGGACTGTTTTCAGTTGAATCTGCTTGCCTTTCTGGCATGGAGTGGGTGAAGATTACATATTTCTTCAGCTTTCTGTTTACTTTACTGTATTTGCTTTTCATTTTTTGGAAAACACTTGGATCTATGAATTAGGGATTGGGATTTGCCATGCACTGTCTGCAATATGCTTAAATTTTATTGAGAATTCGAGTTTGGATTTTTTATTTTTGCCCATCAGGTTCCATTATTTTAAGTTTGAATCATTTCAAATTTTGGTTATTTCAAAGCTTAAGTCGTTTTGTGTTCGACACGAGTTCAGATTGGGGTTAATTGTATTAGATTTGTATTCGGATTGATCGACCCAAGTTTTTGGTTTTGAGTCGACTCGGAATCGACGGGTATTTAGGATCAAACATAAAAATTCCACCAGAAAATTGCATTTAGTATGTTAGAACAATATGTAGCTTGGGTTACAACAGTTTTGTTGTACAATTGCAGCAAAGGCTTACCTTGGGATATCTAGGACAGCAGCATTTCCATCAAAACAACAACAGTCCGTGCACGAAGGTAACCTGAAAACGCAGCGGTTTTGGCTGCGCCAGAGCAATGCGATTCGGGACAAGAGCAACACCGCCATTCTGGAATCAAGCAGCAGCCTAAATATGAACTGCAGTTGCACGACCTGCAATGACAGGGTTCATGCAAATGCATGAGCTGCGGTCGAATGGATTATTACGGTGACATTTCGGATGGTGACGGAGGTTGGCTCGGAATAACGGCAACAGAAGATCCAAGACAAGTTAAAGCCACTGCAAAAGAATGGATTTCAGGTCACAAAGTCAGTAATCCCGAGAGGGCATTTTCATTCCACTTGATCGACATACCCAAAACTTAGAATGCAATCACACTTAACCGAAAAATTATTGTTTAAAATATTAATCCAAAAAATTAGACTCAAAACGACCACGTTTGTATTCTTTCCCGATTAGGTAACAAATAGAGGGATCCCTCCCCACTAAATTTTTGTAGACTAGCATTTGGCTTCTCATCTTTCATAAATTTTACTTTAAACCCTTTAAAAATTGGGTAAATTGCAAATTTGGCAACTAAATTTTACTTTATCTCCTATTTTACTTATCATACTTTAAATCTTGTTAATTTTCTCATTGAGTTTAATACGTTTCTTGGTCACTCACCCGTTAAATAGTTAACAACATTAAAATGAGCTGCTATATAGATGCAAAACGATATCGTTTTAATGAAAAGTTTATTTTTTTAAAAAAATATTATTTTTAACACCATTAACTATTTAATGATTGAGTGACCAAACTAGGAGAGAGAGAGAGTAAAATTCGGTAAAAAAAATTCAATGTATTAAGTTTAGTGAGGAAATTGAAAACTTTTAAAGTTCAATGAGCAACACGAATGACTTACCTCAGTGGTTAAAGGAATCGTTGTTGTTCCTAGATATCACAGGTTCAAGCACCATTCACTGCAGTAGGGTGATTGAGTATTTATTGTCAAATGGTTGATAGTATTTAGAATATATACTATTTTGTAATCACTTTAGCTTAATAAAAAAAAATTTAGTGAGCAAAATAGGAGAGAAAGTAAAGTTCAGTGATGAAATTTGTAAAATTTTCATTATTTTTTTATAAGTTGATATTAAAACTTCATTTTTTTATTTTTAATTAAATCTATAATTTTTAAAAAAGTAAATTAAATTTTTTAAACTTTTTTAAAATTTTAGCTTAAACATTTTTTTTGAATTGAAAAGGATAACCTAAAGATGGTTACATGTGGACTGGGGGAAATGGCTCCTTTCATATCAGCTAGCCAACACGCATTCAATTCCGACAGGGGGGTCTCGTAGATGATCATCTGAGATATGTTCGGTGGAGACATCTTGGTGAGTTTGTCGGCCACGCCGTTCACTGTTCGGGGTATCCAACGCAAACACGTCTCTCACCCTTGGTTTCGCATGGTAGCGATTGATCGAACTAGAGAGATCGGGCTGCTCCTTGCTCTTCTGTCTTCTAAGAGATCAATAGCTTCTTTGCTTCCAGACGCTTAATACCAAGGTTCCAAGCAATTCAGACACGTTCATGGATACCCCAGAGTTTGGCATGGAGAACCGAGCAGTGACCTATGTTTTTACTGAAGCCACATATCCAAAAGCATGTTGTATTGCGAAAAATTCCTCCTGCCGCACTTGAGCCACTGTGCAGGTCGACACCTCCATCCGGATTGTGGTCTGAACCAGTCGGATACTTTTGGACCCGATTTTGCAGCAGCCATATGGGTGGAAGAGGCTTTTTCGTAATAGCGTGCCCAATTATAAGCAAGCTGAACGGTGGTCTCCTTTGGCGTTGTATTTTCATTGAAGACAATATCGTTCCTACACTTCCAAAATTGCCAGAAAAGAGAGGAAAAGAGTGTAGACCATGAGATATTGGAGTTTGGCAATGGAGTCGTGTTAACCATTTTGGAAAAGAGCCATTCATTTAAGTCGGTTTGGAAGAATCGAGTGGTTATCGTCACTGGTGAGAGCTGGTTCTATGATCTACGCACCTGAGGGCAGTCTCGAAGAGCATGAATAATAGTGTCTTACGAAGCACCACAAGATGGGCAGGAAGCATCGTCAGTGAGAGAACGTCGGACCCGTTAACAATTTTTCATGAGTTTTTGATGTATGATTATCCAAAAGAAGAGCCTTAATCTTTGAGGGAGAGGAAGGCTCCAAATAAGTTTCCATCGGCTATTTGTTTCAGGCCAGCCTGCTTCACTTATAGATTTATAAGCGGATTTTAAGGCGAAGGTCTGGTTGCTAGTCCAACGCCAAGTAAGGGAGTCATCAGTCTCGACTACGTCGGGCGTTTTAATCCCCATAACATGGTTAAGAGCATGAGGGGTGATGAAGGTGGAAAATGCAGATACGTTTCAGGTGTCGTCCATGGAAACGAAGGACTCAAGGCAAATATTCTCATCAATAAGGACATCCGAGAGAGCATAAAGATGCAAGGGGTCGAGATTGGGTACCCAAACATCATCCCAGAAATGAACTAACGAACCATTTCCTACTGACCAGCTTAGCTATTGCAAGAGTGAGGTCTAAATGTTTGAGAGGCCACGCCACAGGGGTGAGCAGATCGATCGATGTATGGACATTGGAAATGTTTCAGAAATTTTGTACTTGGTCGTAGTACCAGAACCCAAAATGAGTCGGTTTTTGTGAGGATGGCATAACCTAGTTTCATCATGAAGGCCATGTTGTGGTTGTGGATACGAGGCATTCCAAGGCCACCCCGATCTTCTGCAAGGTGAGGGAGTCCCAAATAATAAGGGGAATTTTGTTGGAGGAGCCCCAAATGAATTTTCGAACTTATTTTTCAATTTCATCACAAATGTGCCGGGGAAGAACCATAGTTTACATAAAGTAGACTGGGATTGCAAAGAGAACAAATTTGGCAAGGGAGATCCTACCAGCCATCGAAAGTGTTTGAGCAGACCAGCCGAAAAGTTTGTTGTTGATCACGTCCATTATGAAGGAGAAGTCCGAGGATAAGGGAACTTGTGAAAGACGGGAACTCCGAGATACTTGCCGAAGGAATCAACCGAGCGAAAACCAAGTTTTGACATAATTTCTGATTGCAATGTAGGGCCGTATTAGGCGAGAAGTATATCAGAGTTTTGGCTTTGCTGACCTTGTGACCAGAGAAGTAGCCGAAGTCTAAGAGAACTGTGTCAATGACTGTCGCTTGCGAGCTATTCGCTTTTGCATAGAGTAGAAGGTCGTCTGCAAAAAAGAGGTGGGAGACATGTAGGATTTGTCTACGGAAACGGAATGGTTCCCGGAGGTTGTCATGGATAGCTTTCGATATACTATGGCCGAGTCGCTCCATAGCAATGACGAATAAATAGGGTGAGAAGAGGTCGCCTTGGCGGACACCTCGTTGAGGAGTAATTGGCTGTGAGTACATATCATTCCATTAGATTTGCATTGAGGAGGAAGAGTTACATCACATAATTAGCTGAGTGAAATCCGTCGGGAAACCTGCATCTTCAAGAGTATCTAGAATGAAGTCCCAGAAGATTCTGTCAAAGGCTTTTTCAAGGTCCACCTTTATTGCCATCCATCCTTGATTTGTTTTGTTTAGGCGCATTGAGTGGATGAATTCCTGGTTTATGATTATGTTCTCAATGATATTACGTCCATGAATAAAGCTTGTCTTGTTGGGAGAGATAAGAAGGAGCATGACATGCTTGAGCCTTCTCACGATTATCTTTGTGATTAATTTATAAATAACTGTACAGAGGTTAATGGGCCGAAAATCAACAAAGGTCTCTGATGCATCCTTTTTTAGTATGAGGATGAGGGCGATTCTATTGATTATTGCATTGATTTCGCTACCCTCTAAAATGGTTTTGATCATACTGTAGATAGCCGGGCCGACAATTGACCATTAGGTTTGAAAAAATTCAGCATGGAGGCCGTCATGACCGGGAGCCTTTAAGGGAGCCATATCAAGGAGGGCCTCGTAGATTTCATGGGACAGAGTGTTACATAGAGGAGAGAGCACGTCTTGGGAGATAGTCAGGAAGCAGCCAGAGAGATGATAAGCACCGATGGGTGTATAGTCAACGTCATAGAGGTTATGGAAGAAACGGACTGCCTCCTCTCGAAGTATATCTTCATCATGGCACCATTCTCCGTTATGGAGTTTAAGAACGGATATCTTGTTTCGTCGTTTTCGTTGCATGGTTTTGCGGTGGTAATATTTAGTGTTACGGTCTCCTAAAATAATTCAATCTATCCAAGATCTTTGCTTCTAGAGAGTTTCCTCAAGGTCAAGGATTTGCTCAAGGTCGAGAAGAAGTTGCGATTCAAGATGGAGGAGGTGGCTTGCGCTGCGCGACAATTGCATAAAACTTTCTAAACTCCACGAAGCCGAACCATGACTATTTACTTTTTGGTGCCTAAGTAGCCGAAGATTTCTTTGTTCCATGTATCAACAGCTTTTTTGAGGTTGTCGATAGCATCTGGGAGGGGAGCAGAGGAGTCCAAGTTATCTTTGACCATATGGGAGAAGTCGTCATGGGATAACCAGCCTGAGAAGTAACAGAATTGGGTGTTACGACGAGAACCAGTATTGCCTACACTTAGGAGAAGAGGCCTGTGATCTGACCTCATGCGGAGAAGATGGAAAACCATGGAGTCGGGAAAAAGATCGTCCCAACGAGAGTTGCAAATACACCTGTCGAGTCTGGCTAATGTGAAACTGCGAGACCAAGTGAATTCTGGCCCCTAAAAACCCATGTCTCGTAAGGCAAAATCATGAACCAAGTGTTGGAAATCCGAGCTTGGGCGGGAGGAATTAGCTCCACCGCTCCTGTCCGAGTGACTTAGTATGGCATTAAAATCTCCAAGAAATATCCATGCTCGGTAATTAACGAGGCAAGTTGGCGAAGATAAGGCCAAAGCCGTTTACACTTAGAGGGGTTGGGGCTAGCTTAAACGAAAGAAGCCAAGATCGATCTGTGGGTATTCGTGAAAGTGTTCTGAAAGTGAATGAACTGGAAGTGGTTGGCAATTATCTCTACATAAGCCGAATGAAACCAGCAGATCCATATACCACCAGAAAAGTCGGAAGCTTCGACTCGGTGCGAATAAGGAAAGCCAATGTTTCGAATAACCACATTCGACTGTGAGCCACTAACTCTAGGCTCAAGGAAGGCGACCACATCAGGCTTTTGTTCTCGGAGATACTGATGCATAGTTTGGGTTAATTTTGGGTGTCCGTACCCCTGGACATTCCAGCAAAAAACTTTTAAATTCATAAAGGCAATCTGAAAGAGAGGGGGAGCTCACATTATTAGAGCATGACAATCACTTGCTTAGTCACAATCTCAGGTCGTCGAACCATTTCATAAGCGGTAGTCGTCGGCGTGCCAGTATCAACGTGATTTTGAGAAACGTGGGTTGGAGGATCCTGAGGAGGGTCAGGCAAGTCCGGTGGTTTGGAATGGTGGATAGGAACTGGAGCTTGGCCTAGAGCTGAAAGGTGGTTAATTTTCGGGTCCAAGTTCTCAGAGATTCGGAGGGCAATGTGTATAGTTCTGTCAAGGAGAGTTACGTGTTGCATGCATGAAAGGTCCGTGAGCTGGAGCAAGCGAGGGACAAAGCAGTGGAGAGGGTTTTTGGCTTATGAAGGAGAGCATTGCAGGAGGCTATTCCGAGGGGTTTCTTCAAGGTGGAGGTCGATTTTCCCTTAGAGGTTCGAGAGTCTTTCTGCTGCTTTTGGGTATGTGGATCGGTGGAGGTGACGTGGGTAATCGGGGTGACGGTTGTCTGCTTGTTAGACGGTGCAGCTATAGGTTCTTCCACAACTTCACTTAGAGCACTATATCTAGAACCATTATTTTGGCTTCTCCGTGGGTTTACCTTGGCTGCTGCACTTTTAGGGTTCCGACGCTGGCGTCGTTCCACGAACATCCATGGTCCGATCGGTCGTTATCAGTCGGTTGTGTTTTTATTGAAGCAGGTGCAGTCTCCATTGTAGTAACGTTGTTCATGGTTGCAGTATGAGCAGATCCCTTTTTAGGGTCGGTGTTGGCAACTCCAGTGTTGGATCCTTGGTATGTAGCTTGTGTGTGGCCGTATCGACCACAGTTAAAGCAGATCATTGGCAGTGTCTCATACTCAACCAATTGAACATTGCTTTTAACAATCAGCTTGGAGACCAGCGGCTTGTTCAAGTTGATGGTAACTGCCATACGAGCGAACCGACCTCTCCTTCCGCTTTCAATGTGGTAATCAAGTTTTAGAACTGGGCCGATGCATAGGCCAATTTCCTGTATGATGCCTTGGATTTTTTTAATCAAAATCCATAGCCTAATTTCTTACTTACAATTTACAAAGGAATAAGAAAGGAATGACAAAAAAAAAAAAAAAATCTAAAATTTCAACTAAATTCGTTATTTGTGCAATTTCCTTTACGGTCAATACTGTTACGCCGAGACGTCCACATATAAGATCGATCCACGATCCGAAATAAAAAAAAGAGAGAAATATTTTATTTTAGCGTAAACTACACGGGAGACCACTAAACTATGATCAAAAATCAATTTGACCACCGAAGTTTTAATTGAATCAATCAAACCATCCAACTATTTAAATGTTTCAATCAAGCCACCGACCGTTAATTTTTAAAGGATGTTGTGACGTGTCCGTTAATAAAATTGGCATAATTATATATTTGGTCATTAATATTTACATATTATATCAATTTAGTCACTATTTTAATTCAAATAAATAAATTTTATTAACGGACACATCATCACCTCCGTTAAAAATTAACAGCCGGTGGCTTGATTTAAACATTTAAATAGTTGAGTGGTCTGATTAATTCAATTGAAACTTCGGTGGTAAAATTGATTTTTGATCATAGTTCAGTGGTCTCCCATATAGTTTACCCTTTATTTTATTTCCCCTTCTTATTATCTCCTTCTTCCTTCGTTCTTCGATAAATAAAGACAATTTGCTATTTTTTTCACATATTTGATGCGCCTCATCGGGTACTTCCCTCCTTAGTTATGTCTTAAATCTATTTTTTTTGTCATTTTCTTCATAAATACTTCTTTCAATAGATCGGGCCCGTTGGATTCTGTGTTTGGATCTAAATCTGGCGGCCGTAACAATATGTTGCAGTTTTTGTTCACGACTTAATTGTTTTCCTCGTGTTTTGATCTAGCTGATGATTGTGACTTGAATGACTGTTGTTTGCTTCTTCTTCTTTTTTAATTTGTCTTTCATTGTCATTGATTCGATCTAATGTGTGTGAAGATTGTCAATTTTCGCTTTGAGTTGAGATCAATTGTTTTCAAAATTATGATCAGAAAAAGTAAGGAATTCTGTGGATAATTGCGTTGTGGTGATTTACTTGTTAATTATAGCTTAAACTGGAAAAATGGAGGTTTTTCAACTGTGGTGGTTGCGTTTAGTAAATGTAGGTTGTGAGTTGGGATAGGATCTGTGTTGTTTTCTAACGATGCCATAGAATTAAGTTTGTTTGGCTTAGCTATGTTGAATCTCTGCAAAAATGGGGTCAAAATATCTGATTTTTGTAGGCTTTGTTGGCTCGTGTCTGGAATGTTTGTGTTTGAATGATTTAGATGAGGGAGTATTGCTTGCACCTAAGAGTGGTTTAGAATGTTTCCGGTACTTTGAAGTCGATCATCTATGCTCTGCAATATTTGTTCAGGACATCCTTTTGTGAATTTTATGACCCATTCTACGGGTCTAGCTCTTGGAGTATCTGAATGAGTTTGCAATAATAGAATGTATGAAACACAATTGGATAGTCGGTAGTTGTTTGGAAGCGTGAAACCCTTTATACCTATATCTTACATTTTGTTTCTTTTTTGTTTTTCCTTGAGATGTCAGCCTTTATAACTTTCTCATTTTGTGGAATTGCTTTCTCCTGTTAGTGACATTTTGATAAGTCTTACTTTTCATGTCTTTATAGGATGAAAGGAGGCCCTTACAAACTGAGGTGGAGGGCTAAAGAATTCTTTCTGGCTCTTATTGTTCTTGTATGTGCAACTATTCTTATTTGGACATGGGACAGAAGTCCAACACTTATTTCAGCAGTATCATCAAAAAATCAGTTGCAGCTCCCTCCAGGTTTGTTTGAAGCTATCTTATTTCTTCACTGTGTTATTTGTTAGAATTGCAACTCTGTTAATTGTATAACCTGAGCATCTTTTTCCAATTAATATTTTAGTTATCTATTGCTTCATAGGCTTACCCATCTAAGTCCAATATGAAGTTATTTGTCTCGTTTCCCTTTCCCATGCTATGTTTATATTCTGCATTCTGTTAATATTCCTGGTTAAGGCTGCATACGTACATTTTTAACAATAAAGGATTCGATTATTTTTATGTTATAAAAAATGCTTTGTCATGCCTAGCAACTTTCTTCATAGGGACTACAACATGGTTTGGCCTACTGCACTGTTAGACCAACTTTAACAGCATACATTAATGTCAAATTGTCAAGTTTTGTTAATATTTGCTTTCCTTCGATTTTTAAACCTTCTAGAAAATAGGGACAATCATTTAAATTAGGAACTTGGAAAGCATATTCTGGATAAGAGTGCTGCCACTTACACGCTCAGAATAGCTTCCCTTAATCTCCTAATATATGGTGCAGATACTAAAACAGTACCAGAAGATCCCCAAAGACACGTTAAAGAAGATATTTCTACATTGACACGGAGTGAAGCTGTAAATAACAAACAGGAACATCATTTGGACGAGCCAGATTCTACTGGCACTGCCAAAAGTTACTCAGACTTTGAAACAGCTCCTATACAGAAGAAAGGTGATTTGCTTCTTTATTTGTCTCAAGATTCCAAGAATTAGGATCAAATTTTTTGATATCACTGTGGCTAGTCTTTACAATAACTTTTTTTTGATAAGATTTGAAGGCCTCATTAAAAACCTCCTTCTTGATTAATGGAGCTTGTATAGAAGCTTCTTAATCATCGGAAGGAGGAAAAGAGTGCCTTATAATTTCATTATAGAAAATAAGAATTACAACCTTGGAAAAACTATTCCAAAAAACCCTTACAACAATACTGGAACCAGAAAACCAAACTGAAGAAGCCAACAACATAAAAATCAACCTATACCAGCCTTTGCTAAAGCATCAGCATCCATATTAGCTGTCCTTGCAACCCATCTCACCACCCCCTGAAAGTTCTAAGACTATCAACAATATCTCTAACAATGAAACCATTTACAACTGGACAAGAGTCAACATTATTGATCCAGTCTACTGCAACCCTGCAATCACTCTCAACGATCAGCCTATCTTTAACCCTCCCTTGAAAAGAGGCAAAGAAAGAAATACCCCTTTGAATAGCTTTAAGTTCCTTCAATGTTGGAGGTCCTGAACCAGCCGACTCCTGAAAAGAACCTAGGATTGCACCAGATTGATCCCTCATAAGACCTCCAAGACCTGATTTCTTCCAATCACTGCTAGTGGCTGCATCCACATTCAACTTGATGAAACCCATAGGGGGAGGTAACCAGGGGATTATAGAAGACTTCAAGAAATTGTAGGACGAATAGGAATCCCCTATAGAAGGATCAGAAATTAAAGAGTCCTTAGGAATAGAAACATCCTTATTCTTTGCTAGAAACCAAGAGGCCAGCCTAATTCTTGTTAAGAAAAATAATTCAGTCTGATCAAGCTTTCCCCTTCAAAAACAATAAAATTTCTGATTTTCCAGATTGTCCAAATAACAGCCCCAGGAATGAAAGTCCATATTGTAGAATTAGATTTAAACTCATCCCAAACTAGAAGAAAATTTTTAGCTTCTGCAGGAAACACAGAACTAAACCTCAAAAAATTTAGAAATTTGTTCCACAAAGACCATGCAACCGAACAAGAAAAGAATAGATGCGATGAAGTTTCTTCAACCATTCTACAAAGAGGGCATAACTCATCCTCAATACCTTGAACACATCTTTTAACCAATTTGGTTTTAACAGCAATTTTGTTAAGCACAATTTGCCACACTAATGTTTCAACTCTAGGGGGAACCAATCCTCTCCAAACAATTTTATTCCAGAATTGAACATCTTCTGAACCTGATGCACACCTCTTAACACAAGAACCGACTGTATAAACACCGTCCCCACTGCCTTTCCAAATCAAACCATCACTAGAATCAATAGATAGAGAAAAAGAAGAAATGATGCTTACCAAATTACACCATTGTTCAAGCTCCCAATCATTTAAATTCCTTCGAACTTGAACATCCCAAATCTAGCCCGAAGAAAGAAATTCCCCAAACTCACAAAGTTTACCGAATTTATTAGTAGAAAGCAAAAACAGTCTAGGAAACAGAATCTGAAGCGGAAAATCAGCAGCCCAGCTGTCTTGCCAAAATCGAACATGCTTACCATTTCCAACATGAAAATTGCACAAACTATGAAACTTAGAACCAAAGGAGTCTTTACAATAACTTGTTTTGCTAAATCTTGTTTGGAATAACTTTCATCATGGTAATAAGTTTTTTCTGGCAAGATGATGTTTGAGGCTTATAATTGCCAATGTCAATGGTATATATTTTCCATAGATGAGTATTTGCATGGATAGATTAAACAATATCTTTACCATAGAAGATCTGTTGAATTCCTGCTGCATATCTGTCCAGTTGTGAAGTCATGAATGATAGAGCAAGATTTTCTGTTCTTTTTTCTTAAGTTCTAATGTTTTCACTATGCTAACTGGTTCTATGCTCTCCAGCGCACTTTTCCTTGTTTTAAAATGAATATTATGAGGATCTTGCCGCAGCCAGTTTCTTCTGTTTACACTTGTAGTATTTTTGGGGTTCCCATTGTAATTTGTTATGATAGTGCAGAAGAGGAAGCAACAAAACACAAAGGCAGTCCCAAAAGAGAGAAAACTGGTTCTATTGAAAGTGGATCAGCCTCAACACAGATAGAGGAAGCACACAATGTAATTTTAAGAGGAAGAACTTCAGAACAAGAAGAAAAAACGGTGGAGCATCAAGGTAGAATATTGCCTATGCCTGATATGAATTCTTCTTGTTTTGCACGTTTCCGTCCCTGTATACAAGTTTACATTTGGAAATTGCAGATCAGAAATTCTGCCGATAGTTCTGTAGTATTCTCATGGATAGATTAAACAATTTCTTTACCATAGAAGATCTGTTGAATTCCTGCTGCATATCTGTCCAGTTGTGAAGTCATGAATGATTAGAGCATGATTTTCTGTTCTTTTCTCTTTTGTTCTAATGTGTTCACTACACTAACTGGTTCCATGCTCTCCAGCGCACTTTTCCTTGTTTTACAATGAATATTATTAGGGTCTTGCCGCAGCCAGTTTCTTCTGTTTACACTTAAGGTATTTTTGGGGTTCCCATTGTAATTTGATATTATGGTGCAGAAGAGGAAGCAACAAAACACAAAGGCAGTCCCAAAAGAGAGAAAACTGGTTCTATTAAAAGTGGATCAACCTCAACACAGATAGAGGAAACACACAATGTAATTTTAAGAGGAAGTACTTCAGAACAAGAAGAAAAAACGATGGAGCATCAAGGTAGAATATTGCCTATGCCTGATATGAATTCTTCTTGTTTTGCATGATTTCGTCCCTGTATACAAGTTTACATTTGGAAATTGCAGATAAGAAATTCTGCCGATAATTCTGTTGTTATATAAACATTATGCTTGGGGAGGAATTGCATTCATCAACATGATTAATAAGACCATGTCTGACCAGTTTTTGTTGATCGAGGTCTTTTAAGCTATTGATGGATTCCTCAGCAAAGAGTTATGAACACTGTTTTTACTGCCTCTTCCGAACCTCTCACATAGGTTTTGTATTGGGTTACATGGATGTAACATCAAACATTTAGTCATTTTCGTAGTGGGTTATTTGGTAATGTGCAAGATGCCTTTGGTTATGATGTTCATGCTCCCCCTCTATTTGAATCCGTTCAATGTTGTGATAATATTACCAATCGATAAGTGATTACCACATGATTACCGCTTCTCATTTTCTCGTATATTTTTTTTCAGCCTGTGATTACACAAAAGGGAAATGGGTAATAGACGATAGACGACCTTTGTATTCCGGGCGTGGTTGTAAACAGTGGCTAGCACCAATGTGGGCTTGTCGTATGATGCAGCGTCAAGATTTTGCCTTTGAGAATCTAAGATGGCAACCAAAAGATTGTGAATTGGAAGAGTTTGAAGGGCAAAAGTTCTTAAAAAGGTAATAGTATCCTTTTCCTTGAATATTTGTCCTTTAAATATCGGTTATTTCGGTTAGTCCTTCCTGCTAGATCTTAATCATTTTCCTTGATAAACACACTCCCTTCCTCTTCCCGATAATCGATATATATTGGACATTTACATGTCCTTGTGATGCATTACAGGATGCAAAACAGAACACTAGCTTTTGTCGGAGATTCATTGGGTAGGCAGCAGTTCCAGTCTCTAATGTGCATGATCACAGCTGGTAAAGAAAGCGCGGATATCCTCAATGCTGGCCCGGAGTTTGGACTTGTCATACCACCGGGTGGTAAACGTCCTAATGGTTGGGCCTACCGATTTCCCAGCACCAATACTACTGTCCTTTACTATTGGTCTTCAACTCTCTGTGATTTGGAGCCTCTTAACCCCAAGGATCCACAAACAGAATATGCAATGCATCTCGATCGACCTCCAGCATTTCTGCGTGATTTTCTCCACAGAATCGATGTCTTGGTTCTAAACTCGGGGCATCATTGGAATCGAGGGAAACTCAGGGCTAACAAGTGGATCATGTACGTTGGGGGCGAGGCTAATACCAACAGGAAGATAGCCAATATTGGAAGTGCCAAGAACTTCACAATCCACAGCACAATTAAGTGGCTGAACTCTCAACTTCCGAAACATCCTCATCTGAAAGCCTTTTATCGGAGTATCTCCCCGAGGCACTTTGTAAACGGAGATTGGAACACCGGGGGGAGCTGTAACAATACTACTCCCATGTCTATAGGGAAAGAGGTATTACAAGAAGAGTCCAGCGATCACGGTGCTGCCAGTGCTGTGAGCGGCACAGGGATTAAACTTCTCGACATAACAGCATTGTCTCAGGTCAGGGAAGAGGGCCACATATCTCGGTTCAGTCTTACGGCATCGCCCGGATTCCAGGACTGCCTGCATTGGTGTTTGCCCGGTGTCCCCGACACATGGAATGAAATCCTCTTCGCATTAATTTAGTCTCGAATTGTTCTTTGCTTCAATGCCCCAAGACACAAATGCGTTTCCTTCTCCTATCATCGTTCGGGCATACTCTCGGCGGCGGCGTTTTAATGGCTTCTCCCAAGTCGAATCGGCTAACTCCTAGTGTTATCAAACCACTAAATTTCGGTGGTTAGTTTACTTAAAAATAGGTGTAGTATCTAGAGCTTTAGCTTAGTGTGTGCCATAACATTTTATATATTTATACTTTTAAGAACATCGCCGGAGGAGAGTCCGTTGAACAGAAGTTGGCCGGAAAATGAGTACATTTGCAGCCTTCGATGATGGAAGGGAGAGTAGTGCTGGAATTCTTGTATGTTAAATGCTATTAAAACTAGGGAAAAAAAATCAAATGTCTATTTCTGAATTATATTTAGGTTTATATAACAAATAAGTACCTAAAGTATGTCCTCTTTTTCATTTAAGTACATGAAGTGTCTTTTTGGATAAGTACCTAAAGTTATATTTTTGTCAAAACAAGTACCTAAAGTATTTTTGATCGAAATAGATATTAAAGTATTCAATTTTTTTTCATCTAATACCTAAAGTATTCTTTAATTAATGCCAAATGTCAATTTTTTTTAACTTAGATGAGAAAGTTTGACTAGTTTAGGTATTTATTTTAGCATAAAATACTTTATGTACTTATTTTGACAAAAAAATAATTTTAGGTACTTATTTTGATAAAAAAATACTTTAGATATTTAAATGAAAAAGAAGATATACTTTAGATACTTATTTGTGATATAAGCCTTATATTTTTTAGGGTAAACCGCTCAAATGGTCACTAATATTTGGGTAAGTTATCGTTTTCACCAGTGATGTTTCAAAAGTCACAAATCGATCACGAATGTTTTCGTTTGTTACAAATTGGTCACTCGTCGTTAACAGACGTGACGGAAAACACGTGGACCGTTAACAAGCTTACATGGATGGTATAATTACACAAACAATCCATGTTATTTATATATTCTTTCAATTTGATCATAATTTTAATAAATTAAAATAAATTTACCTACAAGTGGGGGGATTTGAACATAGGACCCTTGGGTGAAATAATGCAAGCTAAACCATTAAGCCAAGGCAACCATTTAATATATTTTGAACAACAAATGATATATATATTGTATCTTAGTATGTAAATATTTTACGCAAAATTAATAATATGTTATATATCTTAAATTTAAAATTATCTTTATTTTGTTTTAACTTATTAAATATTTTATTTTTTGTCTTAATTTATTAAATATATTTTGTTTTTATTTTATTGTAAAAATATATATTTTATCTTTATCATCACTTAAAAATATATATTTTTAAATATCTTAACTTGAAATATATTTAAATATTTTACTATTAATTTAATATAAAAATATATATATTACTCTTATTTTAAATTAAAAGTATATATAATATTTTACTTAAAAATATATTTCAATGTTTATTCAAGTTGAATAAAATAAGACTAAATTGTAAAAAAAAATTGTTGCTAATAATAGTAATTGAGGTTACATACATATATTATAGTGTCAGCGTAACAAGTGGTTTAAATTTAGTTCAAATAGACTTAAAACGACCGAGTAATTGAAAAAATAAATTTAAAAGAAGTAAAAAAATTAGTTTTCAAAAAAGAATTGAAGCTATGTGTATTCTATAATGATTTAGGAGTGTGTGATTCAAATTTAGTAAAAATGAACTTAAAATGATAGAGGAATTGAAAAATATAACAAAATCAATGACTAAATTGTAAAACTGTCAAATTTAGATTTTTGATTTTTTGAATTGGGAAATCCGAACTCGACTCGAATGACTCGAAATTAAAAAAAATCATTTTTTTAGAGTCGAATCGAGTTTGATTCCCCTCTAGCTCAATAAGTTTTTACCATTTGATTCTACAAAATCTCCTTGTCTTTGTGCTTATTCATGGTTTCAAAACAATAATGTGTCTATCATTTGGCCAACAGGGTTCAATACTAGGGGTGGAGATTGATCTTCCTGGGAAATCATATTCGACTGAACTGATTGGAGAAGAAGAAAGTAGGGTTATTGAGAAGTTAGCAAGACCACAAGATGCAGGCTTTTTGAAGCCACACATATTTACTTTAACAATACCACAGGTGCATCGATGTTTCGGAGTTTATCGATTCGTATTCGATTTTATTAGTCCATTGTTTCTAATGAATGTTTCAGTTTTTATGTTGATAGGTTGATGGCGGTACTAATATTGGAATCAAGCTTCGTTGGTCTCAGAAATTGTCGTATGATCAGGGCCAGTTTTACTTATCCGTGCCGTTTCGATTTCCCGAATACGTTACGCCGGCTGTAAGGACGATTTCGAAGAAAGAAAGGATACAGTTGAATGTCAACTTTGGTATTGCATCTGGAGTCTTGTGCAAAGCAACTAGTCATCCTTTGAAGGTGCATATTTTGGTTCAGAATCTTTGTTTTCTCCTGTTATGTTCTTGCTAAACCCCCGATTTTTCGCAGGAAACGAAACAACAGGCCGAGAAGTTTTCGTTCTTGTATGAAGCAGAAGTTCTCACTTGGTCTAATACTGACTTCAATTTCTCTTATAGTGTAAGAATAAAACTCAACTTACTTGTGCCTCAAGTCTCTGTGATCGGGATACTTATTTGCATATTGACTGCGTGTTTTTATAGGTCTCGTCGGTAACGTATTCGGGGGCGTCCTTTTGCAGTCTCTGCCTTTGTATGATTGTGGCCAAAGGGATATGTTTTGTGTTTATCTTTTACCTGGAAGTCAGAAGAGTAGGAAGGTTTGTCAAGCGTTTGCTCAACCTGCTATGCTATTTTGATTTGGTTATTCATTTTGGTATTGGTCCTCATTTTGTTGAATTCGATAGGTGTTCAAAAAGGAGGTCGTATTTGTCATCGACCTAAGTGACAGCATGCAAGGGAAGCCACTCGAGGCTACCAAGATTGCTATATCTTCCGCCCTGTCTAAACTCGGTCCGAAGATTCATTTAACATTATAGCTTTTAGTAGTGAAACTTCTCTATTTTCAACTGCCATGGAGTTGGCTTCCGACGAAGCGATTGAACGGGCGACTACATGGATGAGCACGAAATCTACAATGGGTGGCGGTACAACTATGTCGATTCCACTGGAAAAGGTGTATACTCGTTTCTTTCTCGTGTTTTCCTCGTTTCTTCAAGAGAATTGTGTGTTATTAACTTGTGGTTCATCTGCCAGGCATCCGAGATGCTATTGAACACTAGTGGTTCGGTTCCTATGATTTTTCTTATCACCGATGGGCTGTTGAAGATGAGAGAAATATTTGTGACTCGATGAAAAAACGTTTGACAAACGGAGGATCACCGTCTCCGCGCATACATACTTTTGGCATAGGTAATATCTCCAGCCTCTGATCCTCCTATATTGCGTAAATCGCATTTGTTACTTCCAATCACCTTCCCTTGTGGAAATATTGCAGGTTCATTCTGTAATCACTATTTCCTGCACATGCTTGCCATGATCGGACAGGGAGATTTCGATGCTACTTGTGATCTAGGTCCATATATGCTTTGACGTTACATCCATATCTCGTGCTAAAGAATCGTGCTACATAATGAAAATTCGATGCATTGCTCGATTTTTCCCTATAACTCCCTTATAAGGATACGTGAACGTTTGTGTCCTATACCATTAGTCTTACTACTTTCCTTCCTGATTCTTTTCAGATTTAATTGAGGTTCAGAAGCAAAAGTTATTTAGCAAAGGTTTGTCTACTGTTCTTGCCGATATAACCATTGATGCATTCGACGGTAACAAACAAATAGAGGTACGTTTTTAAGTCCGTGTCATATTAGTCCTCCATTGATGCCTCACAGTGATGCATATCGGGATTCATTCATGTTTTTACCGTCTAGGCAGCTATCATCCAGCGTCTTACTGTAGGTTCTTCTAGCTGACCGACTTTATTTGGTTTCCTTCTATGTATAGGTGTACTCTTCATGCATTCCCAACCTTTCCTTCGAAGGCCAGTTGACGATTGCGGTAGGTTCGAAGGAAATTTCCACAACACGATTAAAGCTAATGGTATCTTAGGGGATTTGAGTAACTTTGTCATGGACTTGAAGGTGGTAAGGAATACCGACGTTCCTCTGGACAGAGTAAGGCTCCTACTCGGTTTTCGCTGCATAGAAAGTCCGAGGAATACTTGTTTTCACTTCATTGCCTCTTAACTACTCACGATTTCCCTTGCTTCTACAGGTGTTAGCACGTAAGCAGATCGATCTACTCACGGCTCGAGCATGGTTCTCGGAAGATAAACAGCTCGAGCAGAAGGTATGTGTATGTCAGACAATCTACTGACCTGAAATTGGTGGGAAAACAGTTTTGGAACAGAACATAAACCAACGCCATGTTTCATATCCGTAAAAACCGCTGTTGACGCTATCGGTATGTTAATGGCAGGTTGCACAATTGAGCATCGAGACTTGCAATATCTCCGAGTATACTCGAATGGTCCTACTCGAGAAAAATAAACTAGACAAAAGCTGATGAATCGTCTGGAGCTCATAAGGTATGCTATTTGCCTCAATAACTAGCATATATGTCCAACCAAGTCGTGTCGGGGCTTCCTTTTCGAACGTTGCCGAGGCCCGACGACCTCATGAAAGTTGGTAATTTGGATATAGGTAAAGAAAGGCGATCCGCACAAGATCAGGGATCCTGGAGCGCCCAAGAAGGTATTGCTTCAGAGGCTTTCGGTTGGCTTCGACGACCTGACTGCAACTGCCGAAAATATGCGTTCAGGAGCGGAAGAACAGAAACTGCCCGACGCCGCAGAAGCTTTCATGAAGGCGACTTCGAATTGCTGCGGCCGGGATGTGCAAGCGCTGCTGTTGCCTGTGCTGCATCCGATGTTGTTCGAAGATGAATGATCAGTGTGCCATTTTGTTGACACAAATATTCACTGCTTTGGCATTCATCGGTTGCCTTGAATGTTGCACACTGTGCTGCTCACAAGATGGGCAATAATGACCCCTACAATACTTGATTCGAATTAATCGTTTAGTAAATCAAATATCGATAATTATAGAGGTTTGTCATGAGGACGGGTTGTTGATTTGGTTGATGGATACGGTAGGTTAGGTGCAGGATCATGGGAAAGGTAGAACTTTAAAGGCCACGATCATTCGGATAGCCTGGTGCTGCTATCTCTATTATATTTGGCATGAGAGGAACAACATGCTGCATAGTGTTGCCCCCCGTTTGATGGAGAGTATTGCTCTGCAGATTAAGCGCGATGTTAGGTTGAGATCAGCTGGGTGCACTAAGGTTGATGTCTCCTCCTTTGCTTTTGCTGCAGAGTGGGGTTTACTTTAATTTGTTTTTTTTTTATTTGTTTATACTGGTAGGGTTTATTTTTTTGTCAAAATAAGTCCCTAAACTATACAATTTTTGCTTTAAGCCCTAAAATATGTTTTTTTTATCAAAATAAGTAGAGGTGGCAAATGGGTCATTCAGATCGGGTTCGTTTGGGAAATTTTGGTTTATACTTAATTCGGGTCGAGTCGGGTCATTTAGGGGTTTGATTTTATTTATGCCTATAATAAGTCGGGTAGAGTTCAAGTTGAATCAAGTCATTTCAGATTTCGATTTTATTCAAGTTTATAGTAAGTTGGGTTGGTTTAGGTATCGAGTTGGGTCAATATCAGATTGGTATATTTGGGCTCGGATCAAATTAGATCGGTTGATTTTTTGGTCAAATTAATATCCGATTGATTATTTTCGGTTTGGGTCAACTTTTAATCTTCAGTCAATTCAAGTTGAATTGGGTATAAGTCAAATCAACTATATATAGAATTATTGCTATAATTTTGTAAAAGTTGTGTCTTTTTTTAAAATCTTATTATTTGTGTTTAATTTCATTCAAATTCAATTATCATTTACGAATTATAATTTAATTCATGCTCAAACCTATAAGATATGTTAGAGTTTGTAATTTTTTATTGATCTGGACTGAAAAGTTTATGGTACGATCTACTTGATTAAAAAATAAAATTTTTAATTAAAAATTTTATTATCTCTTAAAATTTTAAATTAGTTACTTAATGTTTAATTATAAATATAATATTTTAATTAAACTTAAAATTAATAATACTTTGAATAAATATTATTCTAAATGTTTTGGAAAGTTATACAAAAGAATATTAGATTAAACTTAAAAGTAATATTTTAAATTTAAATAACTATTTGTTTTCATTTACAAAAGAATTAAAATAATTTGTAAATTAATTTAATAGTTTTGGAAAGTTATTTTAGTAGTTCCAAAGTAAAATATTAAATTAATAATGAATTATATCATATGTCCCAAAATTATAACTCTTATTTCAAATTAGCCTTTAAACTTTTAAATATTTCAATTTCATCTTTAAACTATGACTCTCATTCTATATTAGTCCTTAAACTTTTGAACATTTGAATTTCATCCCCAAACTATGAATCTCATTCTAAATTGGTCCCTAAACTTTTAGATATTTTAATTTCATCGTCAAATTCATCTAAATATGTAATCCATTCCAAACATAGTTTAACCTAATTCCCCCCAAACATATAATAATATAACTTGCCTAATGATTTTATTAACATGAGATATGATTAGTATATACGAATAATTTAGGATAAAATTGAAATATTCAAAAAATTTGGGGACCAATTTAGGATGAAGATCATAGCTTGGGAATGAAAATGAAATGTTTAAAAGTTTGAGGACTAATCCAAAATAATGCTCATAGTTTAAGGATAAAATTGAAATGTTTAAAAGTTCAATGACTAATTTGAAATGACAGTCATAGATTGGGGGACATTGATGCAATTAACTCGTTAATAATTCATAATTTGATTTAAATAAAGTGAAACCCAATTCAATAAGTTATTTTAGTATTTTTATACATTTTAACTCAATTATCAGTTTAAAATCGGGTCAACATTTAGTTCAGATCGGGTTTAGATAAATTAAATTCGCTTTACTTTTAGTTCATGTTATTTTCAATTTGGTTGCTTATGTTCGGGTTGCTTTCGATTCGACTAAAATTCGAGTCGTTTCGGTTCGATTAGGATTTTTTGGGTTTTGGTCAAATTTAAATCATCCTGTTTGAATTTATTTTGGGTCTCAGTTCGGTTAAATCGGTTTGAATAATCATGTTCGGATCAAATTTGTCATGTCTAAAAACAAGTATCTAATTATATGTGATGTGTTAACATTTTGTTGGTCAAAAAAAAATTTTTAACTAACAAATATTGGGACATAAAATAATTAAATATAATAGTTTAAGTACCTAATTTACGAAAAAAATAATTTAGGATACCTAAAATAAAAAAACATAGTTATTTTTACTTTAAGCCTAATTTGTTTTGATTTTGATTTTTAAACAAAAATAAAAAAATCATTAATCTATTATTTTATTTTGTTATCCGAAAGTCAAAAGGTCGTTGAGATGTTGACGTCTAAGGAAAAGCAACTTAATATAAAGTTAGAAAAAACGTAATCGAAAATATTAATTTTTTTTAATATTTTCAATGGTGTACTATCTAAAATATTAATTTCGTTACTAAAATGTTAATTTTTTTAATATTTTCGGTTGTAACCGAAATGTTACTTTCTCCATAACATTAAAAAATTAACATTAAAAGATTAACGTATTAAATAACGAAATTAATAATTTAGATAGTACTTTACCAAAAATTATTTAAAAAATATTAATATTTTTTATTGTATATTTCTTAATTTTATATTAAATTATCGTATAACAAAACTATATGTCAGAGTTTAACTTTGTTTTTACTCTGTCTCTCAATTCATAAAATAAAATATGTTAATTAAGACAAAAAAGGGTGAATAATTGATCCACCAAAGCTTTATGCTTTTAACCTAAAGCGAAACTCTCTCCTTTTCCTCATAAAATCTCCCTATAATTTGGTCAATAAATTTAGGGTTTTTATAGCTTTGGTGCTGATCTCTTCTGGGTGTATTCTTATTGGGAGATCATCTTTGGGGGAAAAATATTGATTTTGGGGTTTGATTGTGAAGCCAATGCCATTTGTTTAGAATTGGGATTAAAAAGTACTGAAGGAGGACTAATTTTCAATGTCTTGGGCTGGCCCTGATGATATCTTTCTCTCCACTTCTCTTGCAACTTATCTCGACAGTAATCTCTCTTTTTTCTTCCTTGTAGATAAACCAATGCAATTGGAATTCCTTTTTTGTTTGCAATCTTTTGAATTATCTCAGTTTTGCTTTGATTTTGGTCTTGTGATACTGTTTGATTCAGTTGATTCCTGTTTGTATACTGTATTGGGTTCTTTCCCCTTTTGCCAAGTTATGTTCTTGGATTGTTTGTTTGTTTTTAGTCATTTCGATTTTCTGTAAGAATTGGGAGCAACTTGTATTGTATTGCATGTCCAATTTGTTTGTCGTTGGATTGGAAGGTAGGTAATGTTGGATGAAAAGAGGCTCCTTTTGTTTTGGTCTGAGACCATGGTGTCCGGTAGCCACAAGGGGGCCTCGACTAAGTCCGGTGTTGAGTTCGGGGGACCTCATTTCGGGAGGCAAGCATTCCCACCACTATTTTTTCCCGTCCACAAGGCTTGAATTCAATACCTTGTTTAAGGGGAATCTATCTTCTTACCGACGTTGGTCATTTTCCAATATTTATAGGCTTCTTGATTGGTTTTGCGAGAATGACTTTGAGGATGTACAAGTACTCATCGTTGATTTCATGTTTGAATTGGTTGCAGAACATTGAGTGAAAGTTACAATCTCGGTACTTTGGCTGAAATTTTGCGATGTTACAATCTGAAATTTCTGCTAAAGGGATTTTTGTAGTTGAATCATGGTAATCTCTTACATACGGTGTCTCGAAGATAACGTTTGTAGCATAAACTATGCATCTAGTCCTATTGTATTATATTTCCGAACTCCTTGAATGCTTATCGTCGCAGTTATTTAGCTCCCAACATTTTTATTTTTGTGCCCTAGTCTCCTAGAGCTTGTCCTTTTATATCGTAAGTTGTAACGGTAAATTGTCTGTAATTCGATGGCCGGAAAAGTTGTCGTGTGATTTAGATATTTAATGTTTGTTGTCTATTTGCAGAGAAACTCCTTGTCTTGCTGAGAGATGGCCGGAAGCTTTTGGGATTATTACGTTCTTTTGATCAATTTGGTATTTTGTCCCCATATCATTCCTTGCTCAAGTTATTTTCTGCTTTCATTGTTTCTTTGTGTGCTGAATTATGATCATAGATGTTATTATATCCGCCGACATTCGCAGCTAATGTTGTTCTAGAAGGAGCTTGCGAAAGGGTTATTGTTGGCAATATGTACTGTGATATCCCGTTAGGTCTCTATGTAATCCGTGGGGAGAATGTTGTCTTAATAGGAGAGCTGGTATGCTGTTATAATGTTATACGCATTCCTTTTTTTCACCCTTTTTCTTTTGTTTGAATGCGGAATGTTTTACGATGTTATTTCTTCTTATGAAATGGTACTCACTTTACAGGACTTGGAAAAGGAGGAGCTTCCGCCACATATGAATGCCGTGTCGGAAGCCGAGATAAAAAGGGTAAAGGAATTGTCACGATTCTTATTTCATTGTATGTTGTCGTGTGTTTCATGTATATATACAATGGAACCCATCTAGATTTAGCTACTTGCGGTGTATTCCAAGATGATTAATAAAAGAGTTCGAACAAGCTACTTGTACTATATGAATAACTCATCTCTTTACCCTTTGCCAGGCTCAGAAAGCTGAAAGGGAAGCAACAGATCTGAAGGGCTCCATGAGAAAAAGAATGGAGTTCCTTGATTTCGATTAATAGATCCCGCCATTTCGTTAGAGTTTCATGCTATGTTTGCAAATATTAGTGCGATTTTGACCCAAAATTCGAAACGACGTTGGGATAGCATGAAAGATTCTTGCATTATCTCTGAAGACCTTGTATATCTAAAAAAGCTTGGAGAGAGGAAGTTCGTTTTTCCCGTCTCTTAAGAGGCAAGTAAGATGATTTCCTCTACGTGCAATACGAGTTTTAGGGTTATAGAAGTTTTTTTCTTATACCCGAAACAGTCTTTACTCATTTTATGTTTCTCTCTGCTTCCTTTCTAGGCTCTTACATTTCATTTGAGTGGATAACTGTTCAAGATTGCTGTAGATTGTTACTTTGGTGCCGCATTTTGTTATGGCACTATCGCTTTCGATTATATTCGTAACGTGTTTAGTTATGTTTCACTATCATTAGATATAAATTTCCTTTGCGTTGTTACGAGGACTGAAGATGCATAAAGAAATACAGAATTTAAAACTGTGTAAACCGTATTTTCTGTTTGCTCAAAAGCATTTCATGTGAACAATAGATGAGCCAGATTCCATGTACTCTTCCTTAGTAACCCATATCCGATCCTTGACTATCCCGAATACCATCCTTCCTATCTGGTGGTGCAACCACCTTGACACCCACTCCAAGAGGAGCTAATGAGCTAACCTCTTTGGCTAACCTATCGGCCAGCCCGGCATGTGAAGTGGTGCCCCCGCTAAGCACAACATTCCCACCATTCTTGGGTCGAACAGAATTTCAGGGCATGTAAACCTGCTTACTCCTATATTTGTGACTTGTCCGTCTGGTAATTCGTATTGTCGATCGAGCTCCAAGCTTTTTCTCAAAATGCCAAGTTCCGTATTGATGTCCGTTGCTATGTATGGGAGCTGTTCTTTTATGTCCCCGAAAGATTTCTCGTCCCGACGATGTTGTGAAGATGTGGCCCTCTTGAGCTAGGATCTTGATATGCAGGTAGTATGCATACCAAGAAAATTTTACAGGACTTGCTCTATCGTGTTTAAAAAGCAACTCAATTTTTTTTTAATTTGAATAGATTTGTTCGACTCAATTCGACAGAATCTCAAATTAATAAAACAAGATTCACCATCTCAACTAATTTTTATGTTCATCAAACAAGGGATTATGCCTCAAAAGAGTTTAGTTAACCTCTTGAATCTTACTAATAGTGTCGTTCAGCTTTAACCGTTCATTAGGATTACTTTTAGTACAAGCAACTCCAATTTCGATGATTTTGACCATTTGATTGATGAAGCAACTCTTCGACATGTTTCTCTGACATTGATGATTGGGCTCATTGCACGATATCGATCCCACCATTGACGTTGTTAAGATATTGGGAAGGGTACTTGACCGTCATGATCTCGAGGATGACGTTACCGAGACAATAGACGTTAGGATTTAGGAGAGACATGCTGCTGGTTTTGAAGACATTCCGGGGATCTGTAAACGAACAATCCTTTGGTGGCGTTGTCGGAGTTTATGAGCTGGTGGAAGCCGTAGTAACTGTCCGATATCAGGCCAGTGAACATGTTATTGGACAAGTAAATAGCCTTTAAAGCCCTGAGTCTATTAAACTTGGGGATCAGCCCGGTGAATGTGTTATTCACCAGGCTGATTGTTCTCAAGCTACGAACTTTAATCAAAATTTCTACATTAACCAAGCCCGCGAGTCCAAAACTCGCCAAATGAAGACCAGTGACAATTCCACGGTAACACATGACACCATCCCATTTTTCATGGCAAGGAAACGATCTCAGCGTCCAATTGTTCAGCTTTGAATCTCCGTTCTTCAACGAGTCCTTGAACTTAAGGAGGGAGTCTTATTTAGATAGTGTAAACATTGTCGAGCTCATGGATCGATAAGCGTGTTCAAATTTCGCAATGATATTGAACGATTAGTCATTTGTGTGGACTTGCAACAGATTCTACGTTACCAGAATCATTGTATGATTGTGATAAATGAACATTGAGAAGATTCTTCTGCATTAGTTATCGTCGTTGACGGAGTCTGATTTTCTCTTGTTTCTACAATTCAACAGGGCATAATGGTACCATAAACGGACAGGATCAATCATGGTGGAAGAAGTATCGTCAAAAGCTACTCGACCACACCAGGGGTCCCACTTGTGCAGATTATGTGGTCTAGTGACATCGTAATCGCTAATATAACCTTACGTGATTCTCCCTTTTGGACGTTTCACCCATATGATTGCAAGAGTGTTACCATTCTGGATCCTATATATGGAGCCCCAAACACCGATGGAATCGATCCTGGGAAGTACGAGATCTTACAGTAGCTAAGGCTCCCTGCATGATTCTTATTCATGCTCGGAGGGTTTTCTAGCGCGTACAAGAAAATTTCTTGTTGTATAAGCATCTACGATCGAACATTATGTTACACTGGCTGGCTCAGATCTGTGCTGAGAGGAAATATTAATTCGTTCTGAACGCGACTAATGGAAAATTGTTTGTTGTAAACAGATTGGTGCACGGATGTAGTAATCGAAGATTGCTACACAAGCGTTGGAGATGATGCAAATGCAATAAAGAGTGGGTGGGATCAATATGGCATAGTTTATGGACGACCTCGAGAAACATTCTTGTCCGAAACCTCGTTGTACGCTCTATGGTCAGGTGAAGTTTCTTGAACTTACTGAACATTTTAGTTCATTAACCGTCTGACCGAGCCAGCTTATCGAATTCATGCATGTGTATCACAGGTTTTCCGAACTTCTCATGCAAATGCATTCTATGGCAAATCTTTGAAGTTTCAAGATCTTTCTGTTCATGTTTTCTTCCCGTTCTGTCGAACACTGGTGTTTTTGAATGTTTACCATTGCATACCGACAGTGCTGGCATATCAATCGGCAGTGAGATGTCAGGTGGGGTATCCGATCTCACTGTAGAGAACCTCCTTGTCTGGAGTTCTCGCCGTGCGGTTCGAATCAAGACTGCTTCTGGAAAAGGTTGATACATTAGAGACATAACCTACCAAAATCTAACATTCGATAATGTCCGAGTTGGAATCATCATGAAGACAGACTACAATAAGCACCCTGGTGGTGATTTCGACCCGAAAGCCCTCCTATAGTTAAGGACACAAGCTTCACCAGGGATATGCGGTCGAGGAGTCCGTATTCCCGTTCGTATACATGGTAGTGAAGATATTCCGATAAGGAACGTGATGTTTAGGGATATATCCGTCGGGTTAACGTACAAGAAGAAGCACGTATTCCAGTGTGGCTTTGTTCAAGGCCGCGTAATCGGCACCATCTTCCCCGCTCCTTGCGAGAACCTCGACATATACAACGAAGAGGGGAAACTCATGAAACGTTCTGTAGCCCGGAACGTAACCGATGTAGACTATGACATATGAGAAGACATCAGTTCGCCGGCAGCCGGCCATTCTTTCCGGGATCGAAGCTCAAAGGAGAAACAAGATTGTAGAAATGGGGCTTTGATTCATGGAGATATGTCGGGAAAATTATGAAGTAGCTTATACATTTTTCATCAGCTTAATGAAAGGCCAAATTATTAATTTGGTCCCTGTAGTATGTTAAAATTCTAGATTTAACATTATTTGTCATCTCTATTTTTATAATGTTATTGGTAGGTTCAATTAGTTAGCAATATTTCAATAATATAGAAAATAAATTCAAATTTTAATATTATTAAAGGATTGAAATCATAATTGAACCTCTATAAAATATTGCCAAAAAGGGGCTTAGATTAAAAAAAGGATTAATTCATGATTTGACTCTGAATTATACTTGTTTTTGTCACTTTGGTACCATAACCTTTTCTTTTGTCTTACATTAGTACATGAACTATCAATTTTGTCTATTTATTCAAGTGGGAAAAATTAGATAAGAAAATAGAAAAGCAATAATAGTACAGGAGTCAAAACATGAATAATGCCAACTTAAAATAAATGGAACGAGATTAAAAAAACTTTTAGTCCTTAAATTTGATAACTATTTTCAATTTGGTCCTTTTTTCATTTTAATCATTAAATTTTGTAATTATTTTTCATTTATAGTCCTCTTGATTATGTGATAATCTCATTTTATTCAGACAATTTCAAATCTAAACCTAACCAAACTCTTTAAACTAATTAAAAAGTGGAGCAAAATTAAGGGACCAAAGTATTAAGGGACCACTTCAAGAAAAGTTATCAAGTTTAGGGACTAAACTTTGTTTTTTTATCTCGGTTACAATTTTGCTTATTTATATATTTATTTTCCCTTCCGCTTTTAACTCGGCACAATCTCGCAATTGCCTTACTGGGATTTCCTTCTTCTCCTCCCGTTTTTTTCCCTTCAAAATTTTGTTCTGTTTATTTTAAATCCAATCGAAAGAAGATGCAGCAGCAGCAAGGGCTAAATCAGCAACAGCAAGCTATGATGCAACAAGCATTGTACCACCATCCCAGCTTCTTCACCAGTCCTCAGGTTCTTTTTTCCCGTTCTCTATTATTTATTTTTTCGTATTAAATTTTGGGTTTTTTATTTTTATTTTCTATTATAAAGTTTGTTTGTTTCTTTTTCAAATTGGGTTTCTTAAATTCGTTTTGTCTTTTGTGTCAATTTGCTTGCTGGATAGTATTGGATAGTATTTATTGTGAATTAGGGGTGTTGGGGGGGGGGGTCTGTTTGGTTTAATTTTCTAGAAGTGAAATAATTTTCTTGGCAGACTAGAAAATTTGCTTGATACACTTGTTCATGGTTATTAAAAAAGGATTAAAAATAGATTTTTAGGGAAAATTACACTTTTTCACCCAATTTAGGGTTTTTTTTTTTAATTTTGCAGATAGAGCCTATTTTGAGTGGAAATCTTCCTCCTAACTTTGATGCAGCTACTTGCCGCAGTGTGTGAGTGTTGTCTAGCTCGTTTTCATAATTTTTTCACTTTTGGGCTTTCTTCTCTTTGAGTAGTATCTAATTATTTATAGTATATCATTTGATCAAGCTTTTTGCATTGTATTATTCAGTAAAGAACTGTGCGTTTCGATCCTTGTTAGGTTCGCCTTACGGTACCTTTAATTGCAGGTATGTCGGAAATATTCACCCGCAGGTCTCCGAACCCCTTCTACAAGAAGTTTTCTCGAGTACTGGTCCTATCGAAGGATGCAAGCTTATTAAGAAAGATAAGGTCATCTTCTGATGCAGCTGTTTTATCGGTTTTCTGCTTCATAATTGATTTTCGGGGTTCTTGGTTTATGCTTATATAACTTCTAATGGTGGATGGTTTTTTTTTTCTTTATAGTCATCGTATGGTTTCGTGGACTACTTTGATCGTAGATCAGCTTCCCTTGCTATTGTGACTCTTAACGGAAGGCATCTGTGAGTAACAATGTGAACCCTTTTTTGTGTTAGCCTTTGTGCGTGTGCTATATCTTTAACGTGTGGTCTTCTTTGCAGTTTCGGGCAACCTATTAAAGTGAATTGGGCATATGCTAGCAGTCAGAGGGAGGATACATCAGGTTTATATATGTTCATCGATGAATTTCACTCTCTTAATAGTAGAAATGTGTCTTTGTGTCAACAACTTATGCTATATCTACTTTGGCATTCAGGTCATCACAACATTTTCGTCGGTGATCTCAGCCCCGAAGTTACTGACGCTACATTGTTCGCATGCTTTTCTGTGTACTCCAGTTGTTCGTGAGTACTAATTCTCCTCATTTTTTGGACTAAGATTTAGTTTATCGATCTTAACTGCTGGAAATGTTAGTTACTTGGTTTAATGGAACTTTGGTGGTGATCAACCTTAAACTAGTTGAATGGAAGACAGAGATTTATTTTTTTCTTTGCTGTGGTTGAAGGGATGCTAGGGTAATGTGGGACCAAAAAACCGGGCGTTCAAGAGGTTTTGGTTTTGTTTCTTTTAGGAACCAACAGGTACTCCGGTCTCTTCGTTTATTTTTCTTTTTCTTCTTCTTCTCTCTCTCTCTCACACTATCTACGTATGATTTCATCAAGCTACGATCAATTTATCATCCAACTGTTCTTTTTTTTTTCTTTTCAGGATGCCCAAAGTGCAATAAATGACTTAAATGGTACTCGAACCATTGCTTTTATTGATATAGATTTCTGTATTCTGATAAGTATTGATTAAATTTCCATTAGTTCATTTTGGCTTATTACAGGGAAGTGGCTTGGAAGTAGACAGATCCGATGTAACTGGGCTGCAAAAGGTGCTAATTCCAATGATGGCAACGCCAAAAGTGTTGTAGAGCTTACTAATGGAGCTTCTGGTAGGATTGCCCTTCAACTTTGAAATAATTCTTGTAGTTGAGATCCAGTGCCGGTTATTTTAAGTCACCCTTGGCTCCAATTTTTTCCTGGAATAAACACGGATTACTTTCTTCCCGAAATTTTAATGTGTTACAACTTGAAAGACATTTAATTTGGTCTTGACCTCTCGGTTTTATTGCTTTTGTTGGATCCTTCATTGCTAGTATGCTTCTTGCTCCGCTCCGGTAAAGTTATCAATCATCACATTATCTTTTCTTGCAGAAGGTCAAGAAAAATCTAATGATGATGCTCCGGAGAACAATCCTCTGTATACTACCGTTTATGTGGGCAATCTCGCTCCCGAGGCAAGTATTGTTCTTAAAAATTCACAATTTTATTTGTTTTTCCCTTGATCGAAACTTGTAGGCAGGTAAGATAGTGAGGTTGATGCCGCTAGCTGTACTAATCAAAAAGATATATGGACCACATTCAAGTTGCCCCTGCGCAACTTAGACAAATTTTGCGGTTTTGTAATCTAATAAAAACATTGATATTAACTTCCTCGGCAAACCTTAGAAACATGTAGCTGTCTACAGGTATGATATGTGAAATGGCTCGAAGCATGCCATCCTTTTTACCGTCAAGTAGAGGGAAGGTACTTGGTTTTCTTTGGTGGTGGCTCTGATAGATAAAACAATTTGCAGGTTACATCGGCTGATCTCCACAGTCATTTCCACTCCCTTGGAGTGGGAACCATCGAGGATGTCCGTCTGCAACGAGATAAAGGTTTCGGCTTTGTGAGATACAGTTCGCATGAAGCAGCAGCTCTTGCCATACAGATGGGAAATGCCCAAATTCTTTTCGGTAAACCAATGAAGGTATTTCATTACTAGTGTTAAACACTAACTCTATCGATAAACATCATTCATCCTATTACGGATTACGGAACGTTTTGCTACGACTTGTGGATATTGCAAACTATGTAAAATTGGACTCTGGTGTACGTGTTGGTTACGGGTATATATTTTGACACGGGGATGTGTTTCTAGTATCTTGCTATGTCATATACCCGTATGATCCATGTATCCGACATTCGTATAGGATACAGGAACTTTGAGAAAAATGAAGAGTTCTAACATAGAATGCAAATATTATGCAATGGCATGACCTTTGAGATGTTTAAATGTTGCAGTGCTCATGGGGTAGCAAACCTACGGTGCCAGGAACGAGCTCGGGCCCTCTTCCTCCACCGGCCACTGCACATATGTTGGGTGTATCAGCCGCAAACCTTGCTGCTTACGGCGGTCATGCCCACATAATGACCATGATGCATCCACAGGGCAGCGGCGGATACCAAAATGTCGCGACGAGCCAGCAGCATATGTACTACCAGTAACTGATGGGATGCTCCTGTTGCCATTGCCAGCATCTACCGTTTTACATTCTAGTTTTTCTACATGTATTGTATGTGGTTAATTTTGTTCATTTCTTGAGATATTATTTAAGACCGTTGGATGTGTGACAACGTTGTCTAGAGCCGTTAATTGTTGCGTTTAAAGAACTCAGTAGAGGTATAAAATTTTGCTTCCCTATTTCCTGCAAGTAGGACTATAAATGAAACGAGTTTCGATGAATAATCGTTGGTTTTTAAGCTTATTTATACTTGGTTCGTGTTCGTTTAAAATTTCATAATTTCAATATAACTTTTTAGTCCAAGTATGTTTCTAAACACAAGTTTCTCCAACTGCGAAGACATGAACCACTACGTAATTAATCTTTATGGGTTACATTAATATCTTATTTTAAACTGAAGACGATTTTTAACACGCACAACGGATGAATTTTCGAACCTATGGAAGACCATAGTTAAACTGAAGACGATTTCTAAGGCCGAGGTCTTTACTTGGAGGATGGCGCATAGAGGGCTTCCTGTAGATCTCGACTCCAAGCTGCGAGTATAGGTACCGACATATGTCCCATGTGTAATAGGGGAGAGGAAACGGTGGTCCAAATTATGCGTGACTGCTCATATGCTTAAGAAGCTTTCACTACTACTGGATTAACATGTTCTTTCTTAGCTGGTCAGTTAATCTCTCCCCTGAATTGGCTTGAGATTGTGTTTACTTGATCATGAAAGCTTTGTAGGCTTTATTGTGCTTCTTTGGAATATATGGAATGTGCGCAACACTTTGGTCCATGAAGGGCGTCTCTAACCTCCTTGGGTCGTAGTCACCAATGCGAAGGCTTTCCGGGATGAGTTTCTACAGGCCCAACGACACGATCGTTTGACGGGATTACATGGCGAAGGTGGTCAGCATAGCGCGACTTCATTGACTATGTCAGTTCATTGGAGTCCCCCACCACAAGGTGTTGTGAAGATTAATGCTGATGGTGCTTTTGATCCGATGACGCGCATGGCAACAGTTGGGGTCATCACCCGAGATTCAGAGGGTCAAGTTTTAGGTGGTTTTGCTTGTCTTCACCAGGTTGTGCTGAGGCCGATATAGCTGAAATTCATGTGATTATTACTTGTCTAAATTTACCCAGGGAGTATGGATGGACGCACATGTGACTTGAATTTGATGCCCAACATTTGGTTAACAAACTTCAACGTACGACAACTGACATTTTCACTTTAAGAGTCCATTTGGCAAAGGCGAAAGAGATGTTTACTATCACTGGTTTTCCATAAATTAGTTAGGTGGACACTCTGATCTGGTTCAATTATGTATTTTGACTCAATTTATCCTAATATTGTTAAGGCTACTGTATTGAATGATTCTCGTAAGTAGAGGTGTAAACGAGCCGAGTCGAGTTCGAGTAGTGCTGAGCTCGACTTGAAAACTCTAAAATGAAGCTCGACTCGACTCGAAAACTCGCGAGCTTAATATTTTCGAGCTCGACTCGAACTCGAAATCCTGAACTGAAGCTCGTGAACAGCTCGAAATGAAAAAAAATTCTTAAACTTAACTTGATTGAAGCCTCAAACTCAAACATGAACCTAAATATATGAAAATCTTACTGTATTTTTAAAAAAATCAATACATAAATGTTAATATTATTAATAATTTATTTTTTTAAAAATAAAATCTTAATATATTATATTTTCGAGCTTTGATCGAGCCTTGATCAAATCGATCTCAAATAACTCGCGATTTATCTCGTCTTCGTAAATAATACAATTTCTATAGGTACTTTTTTTCTCTTGTAGTACTAAGAAAATTTTAAACGAGACTCATTTAAAAAAGAAAAAGAATAACCTAATCTATTTGAAAATAGCTCAACTCGAAGTTCTAGGCGCGTGGTGATCAATCTCGTTCCAAAATGGCGAAATATTCTGGAAGCCTCCAATAGATAAATAAAAACCCAGAAGAACACTCTAGGGTTTCCATTATCTCAGACCCCAACCCTTATCATCTTCAGCGACTTTCTCAAAGGTATGCTCTTTCCTTCCCTTAAAAGCAAACTCTTGATTGTTTTACTTACAAAAATTGGATTCTTGAATTGAAACTTGTTTGTTTCCTGGGAAAATTCCAATGCAGCAATGGCTGCATCTCAGCTAACAGCATCATCAATGACGGTATCAGTGAGGAACTTGGCTTCCTTTGAAGGGCTAAGGCCTTCAGTTGTAAAGTTCTCTTCTTTTGGAACTTTAAAGCCCGGGTCTTTGTCTCAAAGGTCCTTTAAGGGTCTTTTTGTAAAAGCAGCCGCCATTGTTGCACCTAAGGTAGTTCTTGTCAGGGTTTCATTTATGTTATTGTTTTGTTGTTGATGGGCAGATTTTAGATTCTTTTAACATTATGAAAAGCATTGGATTTCAGTGGAATTTGTTGGTAGATTTGCTTATATGATATTGTTTTATTGGTTTATATTAGTACACTTCGATTAAGCCCTTGGGTGATAGAGTTTTGGTGAAGATCAAAGAAGCCGAGGAGAAGACAGAAGGTGGGATTTTGCTTCCGACTACGGCTCAATCGAAACCTCAAGGAGGTGAAGTGGTTGCGGTTGGTGAGGGAAAGACAATTGGGAAGACCAAATTGGAAACCTCTGTTAAGGTGGATTTCGAGGAATTGATATTCTTCCCATTTGTTTTATCAATTTGTTGCATTGTTTGCTTATGAAATCCGATGTTTGTATAGGCTGGTGCCCAGGTTTTATATTCCAAGTATGCAGGAACTGAGGTTGAGTTTAATGGTTCGAATCATCTTATCTTGAAGGAGGACGACATTGTTGGGATTCTTGAAACCGATGACATTAAAGACCTCAAGCCTCTAAATGACAGAGTTTTCATCAAGGTTTATGTCCATCGATTCGGTTGCTATTTCATTGTAGTGTCTCGGGGATCCTTATTTGCGGATGCCAGTGGTTGATTGGTCTTCGAAGGGCACTCAATGTTGCGTTTAAATGTCGATTTTTGCAGGTAGCAGAAGCCGAGGAGAAAACTGCTGGCGGTTTGTTGTTGACCGAGGCAAGCAAAGAAAAACCTTCCATTGGCACGGTGAGTAAAGGTTGTATGCTTATAATCCGAACATGTTGCAAAATAATATATTTCAACTTATGCCCGAGCAAAATGAAACAGGTTATTGCTGTTGGACCTGGTACTTTGGACGAGGAAGGTAACCGAAAGCCGCTATCTGTTGCCGCGGGGAACACGGTTTTATATTCGAAGTATGCAGGGAATGACTTAAAAGGCAATGACGGGACTAATTATATCGCTCTCAGAGCGTCCGATGTAATGGCTGTGCTTTCTTAGTTGTCTCTGATAAGGTATGCTGTGAGGTTTACAACTGCAACTTATTATGGTCGAGTTGCCATAAGGCATAAAATCGGATTTTGTCCCTGGAAATGAATTTTCATCGTTTCTGTTTACTTTATGAATATTGCAATAGATATATTCATTTCTGCAGCTACACGAGCAAAACTTGATGCCGATAATGTCAGATTACCCCTAAATAAGGTTATATTATACAAGATCCTTCTGCCAAAATTTAATGGCAGAGGTTTCTAAATTGAACACGTATGAGACTTTTACCTGTTAAATGAGGCAGCTGAGGTATCATCTTAATGTCCCCTCCATGCATTTCCGTTATTGATCTCAGTGCAAGCTTGATTCGGAACTGCCGTGTTCCCAAGATCACCATCCAAGCTCATCTGCTGTACTTCAGTGGATGACAGTATTTTTATGCTCTGAACACAACTTACAAATTCTCTGCAAAGAATTAGAAGTTTCAATATCGAGGATAAACGGAGAGACCAAAAGTTTGATCATTTGAAGTTCAAATTGGGGTTCTTCACTTACTCCCATGGGTCATCACCAACAAGTAATATGTCGTTTTCATGATCAATATAAACTAGTTTCCACTCGGAAATTTGCGGATCCTCCATCTGCCCCTCGATACCGAACATGTGGGCTAGATCATGTCTGAGTTCATCGTACCCTCTGTAGCGGGTTATGTCGATTGATCTTCCCACGGAACCACGCGTTTGCACCTTCACAAGTTCAAACCAGCACCAAACATTTAGAACTTGTACACATTGGAACTTACTGAAACTATAGAACTGCCATAATTAGATAACAAGCATCAAACCATAATGAGGTAACATACCTTTGTGTATGTTCGCATCCGTTGACTTTGGTTGGCCCACAATCCGCCATTTAAAACTCCTGCATCATTTATGGCAACTTCATTTGAACACCCAGTCTTGAACGGTAGGTTTGGCACACCAATCGACTGTGGACTTATTGCAGCAGTAGACATCTCTGTGTCAATGTCTCTTGGATTGCCACTATAATTAGAAAGCAGGTTTTGAAGATCCTTTTGTGAGTCATATTCCCTTGATAAAAAAGTGTCGGGTGCCATTCCATCAATATTGGGTGTGAACGGAAGATTGTTCCGACGATGTGATTGGACATCGCCTTCCAGAAATGTGGGTAGGGAGAAATTATGTTGGATGGCGCCTGCATCTAGGCAGTATGATGTTCCGGAAGAGGATGCTTCTAATTGATCGGGCACGGGACCTTTATACTTCGATTGTTCTGGACCTTTAGAGGCAGGTAGGTCACGTGTGATTCGGATGTCGGGCTTCTGAAGCTCCTGAACCAGTGTACCTGATGGCTCAACAACTGGATCCGTCACCAATATTGGCAGTACTTGCTGACTAATGCTTAGAAAGCTTGATGGTGAAACCTGGCAATTATTGGTCGAAGGTGAGGTTGAACATGATGGAGCGTCTCCATCTGTTAGATCAGAATGGGTTCTCATTGCCACAAGTGGTTTGTTCTGACTTGGGGGTTGGCTCACCACAGGCTGTTGAGGTTGCATGAGCACTGATGTTGAGAAGCCATTGGTGCCAAGTGTTTGTGGACTCTGAGAAAGAGGCAACTGCTGCAATGGTTGACTTTGTTGATGCATCGGCTGTTGCTGCATCATTGGAGATTGCAACTGTGATCCAGTAGGTGAGAGTAATTGGTGAGACGACTGCTGCTGTTTCTGCAATTTCTGTAATAGTTGAAATTGAAGCTGTTGCTCTGAGATGAGGCCCTGCTGTGCCAGTTGATGAATCTGTGGTTGCTGTTGTGTCCTCTGAGACAGATTTTGATGCAATTGTGTCTGTTGCGGTTGGATCTGTACAAGGTTAGGTTGTGGTTCCATCTGTTGCTGAATCTGTGCCTCTTGAGGTAAAGGCGTCAAAGGATACGAAGTATTATTAGCGGAAAGGATAGTTTCAGTTGACTGGCTATTGCTCATCAGTAATTGTTGCTGCTGAATCTCAGAAAAAACACCTGGCTTATGCAAATTTTGATTTGGGGTCTGGTTTGCGGCAATGATGCCATTATGTACTTGAGCCGGTACAAATTGTTGTTGCAACCGCTGCTGCTGCAGCGGCTGCTTTGGCTGTTGTCTTTGCTGCTGCTGCTGCTGCGACGGTTGTGGCTGTTGTCTTTGTTGCTGCTGCTGCTGCTGCAACGGTTGTGGCTGTTGTCTTTGTTGTTGTTGCTGCTGCTGCTGTAGGGATGGCTGAGGCTGCTGTTGTAGATGCGATTGCGGCTGTTGTTGCTGCAACTGCTGTTGGGATAGTTGCTGCTGTTGATTCTGATTTATAGGAGTTTGCAATAACCGCTGGAGTTGCTGCGGCTGGGGCCATGTCATAGGTGCCCGAGGCAACTGGTTGACTTGGTTCGGATTCACTTTGTTAAATTGCATATTCAAAGAGGGTAATGCAGGAGTTTGAAAATTCAATAATTTGGACGGATCATCGATGCTGAGGTTGTTTTGCAACGGATTCGAAGAAACCATAGAAGGGAAGAATCCTGATTGAGCAGCTGCAAACTGATTATTTTGTTGCATGTTCATCCACTGAACTAAACTCAGACCGGGAAAGATTGAAGTAGGGGAATCTTTCATGCCAAAGTCATCTCCGAGCCAGGGCATAGCTCTCTTGAAAGCATCCTCGACATCACCGTCCTTATCTGCAAAGGCATCGTCAAAGATCGGAACTAAGTTCTTTGATTTTCCTGTTATTTATCATTGTTTATAGAAAATTACATCTGATAATATAGTTTACCTGGCATCCCTGGTTGCTTGGGGAACCTAGGCCTGAAGAACGGTGGCGGGCATATGTAGGAAGGAGTTACGACAGGCTCAATATCCCAAATCGAAACTCGGCTAGGCCGTTCACCAGAAGTAGATTCGTCCCATCCTACCTGTTGAGATGCATATGTATTTGAGCCTTGTAAAACAGATACAACAGATGAACTTACAATTTGCATCTCAATAATTTGCAAAATAAAAATGGATTAACATCTGAGGAATACCTGAAGATTGCGCCACTGTGAATTCTTCCACCGCACGGGATCGAGATCACTGATACCAGTAACCGTACCCATGTATCTGCGCACTCCAGACTCCTCAGTTTTGAACATCAATCGAAAGCGCATGCCAAGAGAAACTTGGGTATACGTGGCTTTGTTATACTTTGCCAAGGGTACCACAAACTCAGAAGGACTTGCCCTGATTCAGCATGTCAACATCTTTGTATTAAGGGGAAAAACCAATGATTATGTGATAATGATGAATTAAAGGACAAATCAAGATATGTTGTAGGCAGCAATACCTTGGATTGTAGAATATAGTAAATGGGCTGTTATTTGCAGCAGCATGAGCCGCAGCCGCAAGGATCCCGATATGCATGCTATCACTAGAAACCACCAATGAAGAAAGAGGCGGCTGCTGTCTGTTAGCCCGCCTTATACCCAAGAGAAACTCGGACTTCTCATCTCTACATTTAAGCAAAGAATTCCAGTTAAGCAGCATAAAAATGATATACGAATGTGTCTCTATATATGTATGTATATAAACCATACCTTACGAAAAGAACGGAATCACCAGCAAAAAGTTTTTTGTTGCTGACAAAGACACTCCAACCAGTAGTTAGAAGGTGCCTCTTTGGTTGACCTGCAAAGAAGTCATTAAGCATTGAAATACATAAAACTCGTAGACTTCTACCTGTGAAATGGAAGGGAAACATCTAGGAGAGACGAATACCTCGATAAATATGTCTGAATGTCCATGTGTTCTCATGTAAATCTCTGGCTACTAGCTCTTGACAAGGTGGTTGCAACGAAAAATCCTACCAAACATCATTGTTTTAGTCTCGGTAAAAGTAGGCACGGCATGCTTACATCACACATCTCAAGTCCTAATATCGAGATATCATAAATTTGTGCACACTACACACCAGGGGAGGGAAGATCTTCTCGGCTGCTCTACGAGGCACAGAAAATCCACCATGAGTGCTAGTGTCACTAGCCGTAAGAGTCTTGCAAAAGAACTCAGCAGGTTGTGTACTTTGCTTGAGGCTCATAGCAGATGCCAGTAATGCTTCCCTGTCATACTGTGGAATAGTACTTCAAAATGCTTCCCAAAGTTCAGGAAGGAAAAAGGAGGCAGTTTCATCAATATATATTAGTTCTCAAATGGACCAGTCGACCTACTTTGCTTACAGGTTGAAGAGTCATCTGAGCGTAGACCTCATCGATTTCAGGATCAGCCTGATTCAAAATTTAAATATTCGAATAAATTAACGTCTTGGAAAAACCTTATAACTTGCATTTCAAGTCATCTGGACAAGCACATGGATGCACCAAGTACCTAAGCTATCAATGACTTAACCTAAAGGAAAGCGATATTATCAATCAAATAGTTACAGCATGTAGTGATGCACATATATCTTGAGATAAATGCACAAAATTCATTTAGGAACAACCACTTTCCCTTCAATGGCTTAAAGAAAAAGAAACTACGGATAATGGTGGCTAGCTTTTGCTTACATGCAACGTGACATTATGGAGTATGCAAATCAACTTGGAAGGAAGGTTAGGATAGCTCGGAACGAAATCAGTCTCCTTCTGCATCGATGCTGCGACCTGAAGAGAACATACATATTAATTCAATTTTTTTCATAGAAGACCAGATTCAGAAACAATTAGTCCATAGGAAACGACTCACTTGCTCGCTATGGCCTTGAGGAAAGTATACCACCAAACTTCCAACTGATGGCAAAGAAACAAGTGGTCCAGCACAAGCATGCCATAATTCTGAATTGATACTCTTCCTCTGTCCTGCATTACCAAAACCCACCAGAATATCATCAAACATCCCAAAAAAAGAGTAATACAAGAAGAAAAAAAGTCATAAAAATAATCAAAAGCTTCAACTACCTAAAGATTCACATATTCCTTCAAATTTTTGAACCATAGACAAGCTGAGAATTAACTTTATAGAATTATAGACCCAAAGAAAGAAATCCTTAGTTCCATCGTGTATGAATTATTGATTCTACTTCTTTTTCCATATAGTTAAGACTTTGTTTTTTGCTCCTTGTTTCACCTCCAATTTGCAAATGAAAAATGATCCCAAAACCAAATCTTTCCCACTAAAAAAAGGGAAACTCCATTTCAGTGACAATCAGGACGGAGTTTTGATGTTAGGAATCAAACATATAAAATTTTAAGGAACACAAACTTAAATTTTAAGGAGAAAAACATATTATCAATAAAAAATAATATATATATATATATATATTATACCAAAATTTAAAATTTTCATGGTATTATCTTATAATTTATTGTTAGTTATTGAAAATAGATGGTTGAGGTTTAAGCCAATAAATGAGAAGATATTCATAAAAAAAAAAGAGTATTTTCAGTAATTCAACTATATAAGTTAGGGAAAATCCACCAACAATTAAATGTATGCTAATAATTAAGTAAAAATCTCTCAAAACTCAAATCAAAAGGAAAATGGTAAGAAAAAACAAACCTTCAGCAGGATTTGCCAAAAATCCATTTGGTGGAGCCTTCATGCCTCTTCCAAATTTGTATCAATTAAGAAAATAATAATAATGAAAACCCTTAGTGAATCCAATAACTTGTTTATCTCCAACAAATGGTGAAAAAAGAGATCAACTCTGTGAGGAAACGCAACCTCCGCCTCCGCTGCTGCTTTCATTCACATTAAAAAAATCCCTAAATTGTTAATACCGGAAACTGATAGTTCATTTCCTAGCTGAATTTCTTCTCTTCGTTAGCTTCGTCGACTAGTTCTTGTACTCCAATCACACGAAGCATTTCCTTGTACAACCGGTTCCGATGAGCCGAGGTAACTTGACGGAGTGTTGTTCGTCGGTGACTTGAAACTCGCCGTTTTGGGTCCAGAATCCGACTTGAAACACATACTTGTCGCCTAGAAATCAGAGAAACAAAGCCAAAGAAAAACAAAACAAAAGCAGCTTTCCTCTCCCATTTCACTTTTAAATTTAATATTAATATAAGAGACTGAGGTGATCAGACATTGCAAATAAATAAAGGAAATGGAGAAGATAAAGTTTTTGATTAACTCTACTAGACACCATTAAATTCTAATTTAGATTACAAATTGGTCTATAAATTTTAAAATATCTCAACCGAATTAAAAATTTTAGGCAAAAAGGCACCAAAGGTCCCTGTACTTTTGAAAAAAAATAAATGTGACAATTGTATTAATTTTTCCCAATGTGACCCTCCAACTCATAAAATAAATTTCATGTGGACATTTGATCAACGTTTTTTCGATATAGACCGTTACGATACTGATATGACAATTTACGGTCATGACATGACAATCCAGGTGATAGATTAACGTGGCAAATTGGCTAAATTAACAACTCAAACATGACAGATTGACTGCTACATCAGCACCGTGAACTAACACGTTAATATTGTAACGTCAACGACGAAAAACGTTGGTCAAAGAGTTACATTAGGTTTGTTTTCTGAGTTAGAGAGTCACATTAAGAGAGAAAAAATAATACGAATGTCACATTAGTTTTTTTTTATAGAAAGCTGCTAGTTTTATTAAAAATAGAAAATATCCAGAATTATAATGAAAACTTACGAACATAATCGTAAACGTAAACTAAATTATAATAAGCACATTTTGCTATAACTTTTGACACAAAAACCAACCACCTAGATCACACAAGGACTATAAAAGAAAAATGTTAAAAAAACTTAACAAATGCTCGAACAAAATAAAGATACGAACAAATCTGACTGTATCGACAAGCGAACCATGAAAGGAAATGAAACTACCAAAAGACCACCGAAAAATTGTAAATCAGAGTCAAGCGACGTGAGAAGACTATTCACGAGCGCAAAACGCACATCCAAATCAATCTGAATGTCCAAAGAAAGAAAGATCAACATAATAACAAATAATCTACATCTTGATAAGTCATGGCGATGTGAAATCAAACCCTAAGAAAAAATATAAACGAAAACAACAATCAAATGACCGAAAACTACCAAAATACAGAGAAAACGTGCCACAAAAGCATATATAAACGTGTCATATAGACAGAGATAAACATGTCACAAAGACATAATTAATTTTATTAAAAAACTAAAAAAACAAAGAGAAAAGATAGCCGACTGTCGACAACCAATATCAAAATCGGTGTCGCCATAAACAAACGGGTCACATTAGTTAAATGTTGATTTGCATCTAACGTAAAATACATTTAAAACTTGTGATAGAACTTTAAATATGTTAATACAAATTGTTCATATAGTAAGTACAAACATCTGAATATATTTTACAGTTCACACCGAATCCGAACTAAAATTTAATATAAATAATGTTGTGGGGATGTGGGATGTAATTAATCATTTTTTTAAATTTGATTTAACTGCTTCGCGTGCGATTTCATAATTCGGAAATCTCCTACGGAAGCTGCTCACAATCTGACGTTGGGGGAAGCCTACTATCCTACCTCCCCTTACCCCATTACATATGAAAATAAGGGTCAATTAATTTTTAAATTTGCCACCAAAATTTGGGAGATGCGCGCGTGGGTTTCACGATTAGTGTAATGCATTTGACCAAAATTTGGCACCAATATAAAAGTGTTGTTTTGTTGAATTCTCTTATTATCAACAATTATAAAATGATTTTTTGACTATAAGATATTATTTTGTTGATTTTTTATTATTAAAAGTTATAAAATAGTTATTTGATTATTCATTATGTTCTAAATTCATTCTTTTACATTAAAAAATTGACGGCAATCTCAGTTAAATGTTAACATATTATCTGATATATAATAAAATTTGATCACAGAGCCTCAAACGATTATCATAACTCAAATAACATATTAACATCCAGTTCAGACAACCATCAATTTTTTAATTGAAAATGACGAGTTTGGAACATAATAAATAGTTTGATGACCATTTGTGTACTTTATCCTAACTTTTTTTTACGTAATCTTTGGTTGGCGGGGATTATGATTTAGTGTGTCGTGTATCTACGGATTGCAATGAGTTAATTGAGTTTACTTGTGAACATAAATAAATTAAATATATTTTTATTTAAATGAATCATTTTAATTAAATATATATATATATTAATTTAATAAACAAACGTCATATTATGTCAATTGAATTTAGTTTCGTTGATATTGTTGTCGGTACAACATATACGAGGACGTAACGTCGAGCATGCTTAAGTGTTTAATATCATCTGATTTTCTAGTGCATAAAGATCTAAGTAGTTTATACTAATGATCAGTTGACCTAATGAGATTAGACACTAAATCTCTTGAATAAGGTTAAAGTTTTGAATCTTGACATTATGAAAGAAGTAAATTAGGCTGAGAATATCACCCTCGTAACGAGTCTATGCAATATCTAATGCATATTAATCAATCAATAAATCAAATATTAATAGTTAATCCGATATATATAAGGATTCCTTTCACAACTCTTCTTTCAAGGGTAGAATCATATTCAATTTGGCTTTTAACTTAAATCAACTTTATATGATGATAATTTAATTCGAATTTAATAGATTTGAATTTAATTTAATAGATTTTTTTTAAAAAATATTGAGTTCGAGTTAAGTCGGACTGAATTTGGTGAAGTATAAGGTCATATTCAAGTTTAGGGTAAAAAATATTTGGTCTCATCGGAGATAATAGTATAATTTTTTCTATACATTTAGAGATAATTTCTATAATAGCCCTAGATAGATATGTATATTTGGATCGAATGCGAGATTTTATCTTAGATTTCTGGTTGCGTGAAACTTCTCTACATTTAGATCAGGTCGAGTGTAAGGTGAAGGATATAATACTCGAGTCAAGTTCAAATTAATCAAAAATTTGATCCGGCTCAACTCATCATTATCCCTAAACAATATATAGTTATATATGTATATTATGTAAAACTTTTTAATTTTACTATAATTACATATCATTAGATAAATATAATGGATAACTGAGATTAACAATTTAAAATTAAAAGATTTTTATCGTTAAAAATGAAAATAAATAATATGAATTTACAAAATTTAAATTTAAATTATGATAGTTATTTAATGGTCTTAAATTAATGTGTAATATGAATAGATTTTCTTCAATTAGTATTATAATGTATGTATATATTAATGTTGGTAATATAATAAAATGGGAAAGTATGGATGAAGTGAGGGCATTATTAAATAAAAAAACCTCCATTTATTATTTTATCTTAAAACAACCATAAATAGTATTAATTGGAAAAATACCTTCAAACTGCATACATATGACTATTTGTCAACTATATTTGATGACGCATGTGATGACGTAGTGTTTGTCATCACTATATATTCTTTAATATAAGAGTATCATATAGTTAAGATATGTGATGATGTAGTGTCTGTCATGTGTTCAGAGTGATGATATGATATATATTGTTGGAGTTTGACTCGAATTCTAAATATTGAGAAAATAGGAAACTCAGTTTTATTAAAAATAGAAAACTTTATTAAAGTATATTTCTACTTTATTTAATATTCCTTTGTAATCAAATATATATCCCTATAAATAAATACTAAGGGTCAGTGTTAGATATCAAGTTTTTCTGTCATCAAAATCCTCTTGTATTTTCTTCCTTCATCTTAGTGAAATTCTTCTCCTCTGCCTGTGGTTTTTCCCTTTTGGGTTTTCCACGTAAATCTTGGTGTTCTTTGTTTTTCATTTTCGGTCATTTTTATTTGTTTGCCGATAATTATTGTTCCGATATAATAAAAATTGGCATCAAAGCTTCGGGTTCAAGATTATGGTAACAATGAAGTATGATATTCCGCTATTGAATCGAAACACCAAGTTCTTGCTATGGCAGGTGAAGATTCGAGATGTTCTTGCACAGTTATATCTCAACGATGCAATAGAAGGATTTGATGAGAAGCCGGTAACACAATGGACGAATGAGAAAAATCGTAAGGATCGTAAAGCTCTTTCTCAGGTTCGTTTACACTTATCATATCAAATTTTACAGGATGTGTTGAAAGAAAAAAAACAGTTGCATCTTTGTGGGCGAAATTGGAGCAACTTTGCAAGCAAAAGTCATTAACCAGCAAGTTACACCTAAAGCAACGTCTTTATTCGCTCAAGTTGGCGGAAGGTTCGTCTCTTGAAGAGCACCTGACCATATTCAAGGAAACTATCTCTGATCTAGAGACTTTTAAAGTGAAGTATGATCAAAAAGACCTAAGATTGATCCTCCTATGTTCGTTGCCTCATTCATACTTGTCTTTCAGGGATATAATCTTATACAATCACGAAACACTCACTCTTGAAGATGTTTACAATGGTCTGAGCTCGTTTGACAAGATAAAATATCTTGTATCAGGTTTCGAGCCCCAGACATATTGTCTCATGATGCATAAATTGACTAGCTCATATATTGGGAGAAAAGACGAACGTTCATTGGAAGGGGTAGATCAAAATCTACCAACCAAGGTAAAATTTGTCACTATTGTTAAAAGAAATGTCAAGTTAAATCAAAGTGTTACAAGTTGCAAAATAAAATCAAAAGATAAGCAAAAGATCATAACTCTAAGAAATCTGGTCAGGTC